AAATATCATGCAGGGGGAACGAAGGGTAAAATATTTAACTGCAGCAGTGCTTGACTATATTTTTCTCAGTGAGAAAACCTGAATCAATTTTCAAGGTCCACCATTTCTTACTTCTTTTCAGTTGGGTCAAGTTTCTAAATCTCCATTCTCCAGCTAATTAAAAGAAAATAAGATTCCACCAAGTCTCCTATCTACCTACTCCAGGACTTCTGTGAGGATCAAAAGAGATGAGGCATGGGAAAACGCTTCACAGACGTTTGGTTAAAGTGTGAAATGTTTCCACCTGGTTATAAAGAAGTCGTGTTCCTGGGCTGAAGAAACTGCAAGGAAGCTAGTTGTTAGGGAGAGGAAGCCGGGGGTTGCTACGTGATGTCATTATCCAGATGCTTAGCATATTAGCCACAGACACACACACACACACACACACACACACACACACGAACAAAATCTGTGAAATCTGTGCAAGGGGCTCAGCTCTCACAGTCCCGGCGGCTGCCTCGGCCCTCACAGCCCGACTGGAAGGTTGTTTGGCTGTCTGGTTTAATTAGCATATTACACTTTTATTATTATACTAAATATGTGGGTTTTTGTTCCTCACAGAGGGGAACAGGAATCCTGTGTCAGGAGGTGACCAGAAGGCCGGGATGGCAGCCAGCTCGGGGACTGGAAGGTGTATAATTGAGGCTTGAAAGCAGGGGTGGGTGCAGTTAGTTTAACCCACGCTGCTAAATGGCTGATGTACTTCTGGGAGGTGGAAATGGACCTGGGAGATGCTGCTTTTCCTCCATGTCCCTGTCATTTCTCCCAATCACTCCATCCCCTTTTGGGCCTTCAGCCCTTTTGCTGTGGAGCATCTCCAGTAGACATCTTTCCTACGAAGGTGTGGTCTGTAGCGTGGGCTGCATCATAGCAAGCCCCATTCTAGAACTGAGCCGCCACCCTGCTCAACACCTTTGACATCCTCCCTGTTCCCACTGCCCACAGGTGACCTGGCTTCAAGACCCCCAGAATGACCTCACCACCATCGTGTGCCCTAGGCTGCCAAATACTTCACCACTCGTCAAACATGTCCTGATGTCGAAAAACAACTGCAGCATGAAATAATTACGGGAGAGTTCCATCAAAAGGTCGATGGGACTTGGGGAGGGCTCAACAAGGGTGAGCCACAAATGTAATTTACCTGTTGGAAAAGGCTAAAAGGCACTTTCCCAAAACCTGAATAGGATAACAGTTTGCTGCCAGACAGCTCAGGGCATTTTATTGCCTCCTGTTGGCCAAACACCTGAACAGCTGTAGGCTATTCCCCAAAATGACCATGCTCTGTACCTTTGATGCCTCACCCTTTGAAGTGTGTATGTCCACCTTGCCTTAGGATAAATCTTGTTGAAGAAAAGCACAGGTCCTTGGTCAAGGAGGAGTCTTCAGTTCCTTTTAGCTGAAGCTTCTCTGACCCCCAACGCCTTTCAAAAGTATCTTGGATGCCTTTTTAATCATCTACGCGCAGCTCCTCTCTCCAGAATGCTGAACCTTGAGTAAAGCTGGGAAAAGAACCCCGGCATTGACGCCCTAAGGAGGGACACCAACATCCTGAGCCCATTCCAAGCCCAACCCACTCCTGCGGCTGCCTGGTGTGCCAGCCTGCCCTTCCTGCTGGACTCCTACCCGCCTGCAGGGCCAGCTCAAATGCCATCTCCTCCTCCCTCCTGGATTACCTATATGGAGCAATCCTCTCCGACCCTGGCCTCTGCCACACTGTCTAGAAGCAACCTTGTCCTCTATCAAGTCCTGCACTTTTCTGATTCTCCCGTTCCTGGCTTCTTTGTAAGCCCTGCAAGGCAGGAAGCTATTGAGTGAAAAACGCTCTGGGGTAGCCAGTATCAGTGTGGTGGATGGCCCCACCTCTCAGCATAATCTGGAAGAATCTTAAACATTTTAGCTTCTTGACCCTTTTTATTTTATAATCCTCACCTGAGGTTGTTTTTCCATTGATTTTTAGAGTGGAAGGGAGGAGACAGGAACATCCAAGTAAGAGGGACACATTGATTGGTTGCCTCCTACACCTGCCCTGACCTGGGCCAGGTCTCTAGCCTGCAACTGAGGTACATGTCCTTGACTGAAATCAAACCTGAGACCTTTCAGTCCTGACATTCTGTTCACTGAGCCAAACCCTTCTTCTTGGGCTGTTAGATCAGAACTTCTGAGGGGTGAGGCCAGAAACCTGAATTTTTAAAAATTATATATTTTATTGATTTTTTACAGAGGGGAAGGGAGAGTTAGAAACATCGATGAGTCATTGATCAGCTGCCTCCTGCACACAACCAAGGCACATGTGCTTGACTGGAATCGAACCTGGGACCCTTCAGTCTGCAGGCTGATGCTCTATCCACTGAGCCCAACCGGTTTTGGCCTAAATTTTTTTTAAGAATATATTTTATTGATTTTTCACAGAGAGGAATAGTCAGAAACATCGATGAGAGAGAAACATCGATGAGCTGCCTCCTGCACATTCCTCACTGGGTATGTGCTCATAACCAAGGACCTTGACCGGAAATGAGCCTGGGACCCGAGTCTGAAGGCCAACACTCCACCCACTGAGCCAAAAAGGTCAGGGCCAAAACCTGATTTTTATGTAAACTCTGCGAGGTACTAATGTGGTAACCATTGGTATATGGGATGGGCACTGACCTTTGTATTCGCCCTAAAGAGGGACGCCAACATCCTGAGCCCATTCCAAGCCCAACTAGGCAGGACCTAGTACAGATGACTCAGAGAAGGTTGTCTTTGTATACCAAGACAACCTTCTCTGAGTCATCTGTACTAGGTCCTGCCTAGTCAGGTTTGCTTTAAGGAAGGATTCCATGAAATAGCACACACACCCAAGATAGAACTAGCACAGTGCTTCATATAAAACCACTGGGAGGAATTAGTCCTAAAGCACAGTGATCTTCAGGACTATACTCTTTTTTTTTTTAATTGATTTTTTTTACAGAGAGGAAGGGAGAAGGATAGAGAGAAACATTGATGAGAAACTTCAATCAGCTGCCTCCTGCACACCCCCTACAGGATGTGCCTGCAACCAAAGTACATGCCCTTGACTGGAATTGAACCTGGGACCCTTCAGTCTGCAGGCAGATGCTCTCTCCACTGAGCCAAACCGGTCAGGGCAAGACTACACTCTTTGTAATAGTGAAAATCTAAACCACCTACCCCGTTTCCCCAAAAATAAGACAGTGTCTTATATTAATTTTTTCTTCCAAAGTTGTGCTAGGTCTTATTTTCAGGGGATGTCTTATTTTCGGGGAAACACGGTAGTTATCCAACAGTGGAATACATTTTACAGTCCATTCAACTTAAGGTTTATCCAGCTATGATATAGGAAAATATATCCACACTTTCACCTGCGGTAGTTAATCTCCGAAGTTGGCTCTCAAGAGATCCAGGCCTCCTGGTACTCAGATCTTATGTGGTCAGTGCACTGCCCCCAGGCACCTGGGCTTGCTTTGTGACTTGCTTTCACCATGATGTGGCAAAAGTGATGCCGTGCCAGTCCTATCTTAAGCCTAATGTCTGACAGCTATTACCCTTGCACTTCTGGGAACGCTGAGCCGTGAAGAAATCTGCCCACCCTACAGTAGAGGCCTCATGAAGAGTGAGGCCCGAGACCTCATGGAGAAGTCCTAATACCCCCTTTTTCTCTCCCCAAACACCAGCTATGTGCCTGAGCCTTCGTCTTGAGTGTGCCAGGACCTAGAAACTGGAGGAGCAGAGCCTCCCAGCAAAACCAGGTCAACCGGCAGGATCCTGAGACATAATAAAAAGGCTTAAGAGCAACTACATTAGGTGCGTGTGCTACACAGGAACGGATAACCAGACAAGCTGCAAAATGGCACATGAAGCATTATCTCAACTTACGAAATATGAAAAATTAAGAGGACAAATACTATTTATTACCGGCAACTTTTTTCTGCTTTATTTTTTGCCGAACTTTTAGGTTTTAAACAATGAACATGTTTAACTTATTTAAGAAAACAATGATGTCATACTCAACTGTAAAATCCATGTTTCAGTTCCACTGGGTGTCTATAGCTCCACCCTGACCTGCCCTTTCATCTTCACCACTTGCCAGAAAGTTCTCCATTTCCACTGCAGAGACCACGGATTTGTGGAGCAGATGCACGCAACACCAAAGGGAATCAGTTCTCCCTTTAATTCCCTGCGCTTGTCCTAAGCCAAGCAAGTATAATAAAGTCTCTCTCAGGTGGCTGAGGAAGAGACACAAAGCTGCTTTCCCTCAGGACAGGCAGCACCGTTCTCAGCCCTGCCACCCAGCTGGTATTTTGGTCGTTTCTGCCCCCATCCAAACTTTTCTCACAATATTGGCTATGGGATGTTAGTTACTTGAATATTACGGTTCCAACATAAGAGGACAAAATTCAGAGTGGAACACCGGTCTGCCAAGGCAGTCCTACTGTTCACTTAGCCAGAAAATACCACAAAGAAAGACCCAGGGGCAGAAAACAGTGGCCTGGCATCAGGCACCGAGCTATTATCCCATGCGGGTGAACGGACACAGAGGAATCAGGCCTGAGCTGACCCTTCTTTAGTTTACACTGTGGAATGTAATGGTGCAAAGAGAAGAGCTGGGAGGAGCAGCTACTGATATTTTAGACTTTCTTGAAGCTTCTGATGAAACCACCTTGCTTCAGTCTAATATTTAAATAACATATAGTTTTTATTTGTGATGAAAGAGATGCCAAATACTCTGAAGTCTGTTCTAATGGGGAAGAAAGCACAATTTTTATGGAAGAGACCTTGAAATAGAGTATCAAAGCCTGCTTTTATTGATGCATCAGTAGTCAACTGACCCATGATCTGGAAGGGATGGTAATGTTAATACATATCCATCATCAAAACCGAAATAGAAAGATATCTGAAATGGCTTTTACAGTGACATGATGCCTTAATAAGTTAAGGAAATGGATTGCTCACTAACTGCTTTCTCATTTCATGTTCTTTACAAAGTCTTCTCCTTTCTTGATTGAGGCTTTCAGCTCAGGAATGGCCTCAGCTATCATCTTCTCTTCGAAAGAGGAGATTTTGCCGATGCCCAGATTCTTCTCAATGCCTTTTTTCTGCGAGAGAGAGAGAGAGAGAGAGAGAGAGAGAGAGAGAGAGAGAGAGAGAGAGAGAGAGAGAGAGAGAGGAGACGAGACAACAGTTTTACAACAAAGTTAAATTTCCATGAATGTTTGTTATAGAAAACCCAACTTTAACTTCATCATCTCTGCCTAGACGATTCACACCTGTGTCTCTGGGCAGTTGCTGTAAATACCCAGAGCTCAGGCTTCAGCCCGACAGTCCGAGGCTGGGATCTGGGCTGTGACACTATGCATGTACCCTGGACAATGGTTTCCACACCAAGACTGCTTCCTTATCTATAAAATGAGCATACTATTTACTTCAAGGGAGACTGTGAATACACATGGGAGACTTGGCCCATCAAGGACTCAACAATTAGTAGCACTTTAAGTTATTCTCCCTGACATAAAGCATATATGGGTTCTAGTTTCTTTCCCAAGTTGGTAAAGGACTGAATAAACATTTTAATATCCACCTGAATTGAATGTAATTAAGTAGGTGAACGTCTGACATTAGGCAAACAACACTGTCTCTGCTACTGTCCATCTCCTTGGAAAGCCCTTCCTGACCCGGACAATCAGCCTTGTGTGCTCACACCTGTGCGGAACTGGTTCCTGAATTAACCTGTTTAGTGTCAGTCTGTGCAGCACAGAGAGCCCCTGAGGCCCGAGGCCACGTCTTATTGACCTTTGAACATCGGGTGTCTGTGGGAACGGCCTCTTTGTGGCCCAGAAAGTCACTATCTGTTTCTTTCTGGGAATGAGATGAAGGCCAGCACACATTTACCTGATTTCAGCAGTTTCACACTTAACAAAGAAATGGAAACCTAGGCTTGATGGTTTGTGTGAATGAGATCTAGGGGCAGTGGCTCATGGAAGACTCAAGAGTCAACCAAACAAAAACCAGCCTGCTGAAGCCAGCAATGTGACCAGATGGGCTCTGTCCTAGACACCAGTTTCAAGGGAACAATCAACAGCACATCCCAAGAAGGAAAACCAGTGGGATGAGGAGCAAGGAACCAGGAATGCCTGAACCAGGAAGTGTTACAGCCATGCATAATTTCCAGCCTTCTTTGAGGAAGAGTTAGGCTTGTCAGGCCCTGAGGTCAGAACCAGAACTAACAAGTAGAAGTTACAGGGAAATGTCTACAGGCTGGAGTGGAGAAGCCTCTTTGTTCAGAGCAGCCTGTGGGAGCATCTTTTTCAGAGAGGTCTCATCAGGAAACACACAGGCAGCCACTGATGACTAGCTGTCAGGCCCATGGGCATTGAATTTATTCTGCGATGCTCTTCCACCCTCAAAAACCCAAGCACAGGCCATGCAGTGAGATGCAGTGACTGCAAAAAGAACTCTGAATTATGAAGCAGCCAGAGAGGGCAGAGCTAAGTCTTCACTAGCATGAACTCCCCGTCTACAGTCAAGAGACCCAGCCTCTGGGAATACATACCCCCAGCAGCAATGGTGTGGAGAAATAGGTACAGTCCGTTTCTTGGGACTTAACAAAAGAACATTCGACAACTCCTTCCTTTCCGTTCATTGCATCCAAAAGGGAAAAGACAAACCGGGCTCCAGCATATGCCATGGACAGGGTGGCAGAGCCTAGGAGGACACAGAAAGGTTAGCCAAGCTAGCACAGAGACGGTACGCCAGCTCTGCCAGCTAAATGAAGCACCTGTAAAATCTCTGGCGTTAGCCGTTCAGAATTTAGGTCAGCAGTCCTCAATCCACAAACTCATGAATGGCAAGAATTAGCTATGCCAACCTCAAACACCACTCTATTCCGAGTGGGAGGAGCTACCCTCTGATATAGGGTTTTCTATCAAGTGAACATATAGGACACTTAGAAAAAGGTTTGCTCCTTGCAGTTTTCAACAGTGACTCTGGCATCAGCACCCCATCCATGAACTGCCTCCGAGACCCTACCTGCTCCAGCTTTAGCCTTGACCACCTCCGTGCCAGCCTCCTGGATCCGTCCAGTGAGGGTTGTCAGCTGGTCCTGGGGGAATTCCACCTTGGGTGTGCACTGCAAGCAAAAGTCACAGGGATCCTGTGAGCAGGTTCAGATCCCACTCTCCTCACCCTATTCAGAGGGTTCCTTTTATCATGGGAAACCAAGAGCCTCTCTTTAAAGAAAATGTCAACTTTGTTGGGAGGTTTAGTGAATTCGACCTTACCAGCAATAGACTAGGCTATTTCACCTTAGCCATTCTCTAACAGTTCCCCAGTCTTCCCTTGTCTTTCATAACAATGTCAAGAGTATTGTCACTCATTTTGTAGAATGTCCATTAGTTTGGATCTGTAAGGTGTTTCCTCGGGATTTTGTGCAAGGTTATGCATTTTTGGCATGATTAGCACAAATATTTTGAGTCTTTCTCAGTGCACTGTACTCGCGTTTATAAGGTTGATTTGAAACCATTCTTAGTGGTGTTACCTGGTCTCTAGTCTAGTTTTTACACAAAGAAGCTTTGCCTGCTCTGACCTCAGCAGAAATTCATGAATGTTTCTATCAGCAGTTTTCACTGTGTGCTGGAGCTGGCTGCTTTGAGCACCTTCTGACTACATTCACCCCATACAACTGTGGACCCTAAACACTGAAAGCTGATCACAGCCCCCCACCAGTAAAGAAACCCCTGGACAACTGGGGTGGGGCTGCATCCTTAAAATCCTTTCAAAATACAACAGATCTTTGTAATCTTTGTCAGTCTGTCCTGAGTGCCTCAAAGTGGATCTTAAGGCTCCTTGGCAAGGTCACAAACATACCTGAGAGATCAGGGGGATGATGGTCTTCCCAGCATGGCCGCCAATGACAGGAACGTTAACTCGAGCTGGATCCAAACCCTGGTCAACAAAATGTGAAACATGATTAACAAGCTCTTTTGAATATAAAATATGTCACATCTACCCAAACACCAATATCGGAAAAATCCACAGAAATCAGAAAACAAAATATTAGAAGAGACTGACTACAGCTTTGCGCAAATCTACCGTGCCAGTCTGAACACAGGCAGTGAGGAGTAACTTGTCATCTTGTGAGGTCATGAGGTTTTCCCTTTATAGTGAGCTGAAGACTGTCTCCTTGTAGGCACTTTCCCTATCAATCTACCTTCTCAGAATCAAAGGATGACAGCCCTCTTTCCCACAGCTAATGTTATCCCAATGCACAAGCCCAGACTCATGTGCCCACACTTCGTCAAAACAAGTCAAAGTAAATGTCAAAACAATTCCAGGAAACTAGGAGTGAGAAATCTGTCAACTCAAACAATTATTGGGACAGAAAGAACAAAACTGGGAAAGCTCAGGACACCCTTGGTTCATTAGTAGGCTAGCAGAGAGAAACTGGTTCGTTTGTTAAACTGAGGTACAATGCCCCTAAAGACTCTGTGAACCAGTATTTTTTTAAAAAATTGTACAGTATTTAAAAGTTCAAGGAATTCTCATTTCTTTTTCTTTTTTTAAATATATCTTATTGATTTTTTACAGAGAGGAAGGGAGAGAGAGAGCCAGAAAAGTCGATGAGAGAGAAACATCGACCAGCTGCCTCCTGTACACCCCCCACTGGGGATGTGCCCGCAAACCAGGCACATGCCCTTGACCGGAATCGAACCTGGGACCTTTCAGTCCGCAGACCGACGCTCTATCCACTGAGCCAAATCGGTTTCGGCTCATTTCTTTTTTTCTTTTTTTTAAATTATATTTTATTGATTTTTTTTTTTTTTTTTTTATAGAGAGGAAGGGAGAGAGATAAGAGTTAGAAACATCGATGAGAGAGAGACATCGATCAGCTGCCTTTTGCACACCCCTCACTGGGGATGTGCCTGCAACCAAGGTACATGCCCTTGATCAGAATCAAACCCATGGCCTTTCAGTCCTCAGGCTGACACTCTATCCACTGAGCCAAACCGATTTTGGAGAACCAGGTAATCTTATGACAGTCAGAAAAGGAAACTGGTGGGAGTTATGGATTGGAGGTGAACCATTTCCAGATGCCGCAGCTGCTGAAGAGAGCAGCCCTAAGTTAGGAACTGCCAAGCCTCTGGTGAGGGTAGGGAGTGAAGGGGGGCGTGGGAAGAGGATGGGGAGGAGCACAGGGCAGACAGGAATAGCAGGGCCAACTGAGAAGCAGGGAGCTCAGAAGCCAAGGTGCTGTGCCAGTCACCAGGGTCACAGGCATGAAAAAAGCCCCTGCTTTTGAGAAACCTGATGTGTAATGAGACGATACAAAGGGCCATTGCAGCACAGCACTAGAAGCCAGAGGAGCACTCCATCAGCATGGGGAAGACTTCCTGGGACTGACCTCATTCACCTGGGAAGGAATAGGAGGACTTGCCCCAAGGGAAGCATATTCTAGGCAAAAGGAGCAAAGGCCAGGGGGTATGAAGAACGCATATAACATCAGCAGTGTATGAAATGTAAACTAGACAATGTTTGCGAGACTAGTGGAAAGGGAATGCGGAAGTAAAAGGGGTCCAGGTGGCTGAGAGGGCTGAGGGAGGAAGCAGGCACTGGGAGCTTAAGGGTCAATTTTGACTCAATTTTTCAGACTGTCAGACAGACTGAGGTAAAGGGCAGTTCACTTAGCTGACACTTGTCAAGCACCAGATTCTCTGGGAGGGGCCACCCACCACCTCTAACAGTAAAGCTTCTAGGCTGAGAAGCACTGTCTAACAGGACTTTCTATAAAAACTAAAGCCCCGATGCATGAAATTCATGCAAGGGCTCAGCTGGCCCTCGCAGCCTCGGCTTTATCCAGAAGGTCGTCTGGACGGTTGTTTTGCTATTCAGTCTAATTAGCATGTTAGCTCTTTTTATATAAGATACAGCAGTCGCCGAGACCGGTTTGGCTCAATGGATAGAGCGTCGGCTTGGGGACTAAAGGGTCCCAGGTTCTATTCCAGTCAAGGGCATGTACCTTGGTTGCAGGCATATCCCCAGTAGGGGGTGTGCAGGAGGCAGCTGGTCGATGACTCTCTCTCATTGATGTTTCTAGCTCTCTATCTCTCTCCCTTCCTCTCTGTACAAAATCAATAAAATATATTTAAAAAAAAAAAAAGATACAGCAGTCATATGTGGCCATCAAGCACCTGAAATTTGACTGCTGTGATGGAAGACAAGCACTTCTAATTTTATTTACCTAATTTAACAGCCACATGTAGCTACTGCACTGTGAACAAGTAGGGGCCCGGGGAAACGGTGTGCTCTGACAGCTGGCAGCACCATGGGAACTCTCAGAGAATGAGCACGACTGCTTCCAGGAAACTGGGGTCCAAGCTTCAGGAAGCTGGAACCCTAGCTCTCCAGCTTGTGCACTCTCAGCTCCAATGGGATCTTCTCCATAAAGCCTTAAAGTGTCTCCCCATTCAACAGAGCTCCCAAGGCCTGGGGTCATGTCTTATGGACCTTGATGACCACCACACCTAGAATCAAGCCTGAAGAACATGCTGAAGTATGAACTAAAGTAAGCCATCATCAGAACTCCAGAGACAGACCTATCTGGTGCACAGGGGAGTAAAATAAAGGCCAACAGTCCCGTGTGTGCACTTCTCACTAAGCTGTGTGCATGACAATGTTCCTTACTTTAGAGAGGCTCCTCTTATCTAAAAAATCAGGAAAAAAATGGTCTGAAGTTCAAGAAACTTTCTGGGGTCAAAATAAATGGTTCTGCTGGATTCACAACCGAAAAGATTATACAGCGAGTTGTGAAAGGCATGGAAAACACCAAACCTAACACTGATGCCAAATCCACCTCAAGATGAGTCCACAGCTCAGTCCAGCAGCCCAGGAAGAAGCAGACAGCTGGCAAGATCAGAACTCCCCGAGAAAGGCTACTGCAGGTAACCCAGGAAGGGGAGTCAGAACTACACCCTGGGGACAGCAATTCTGCTATCTTAGGATCTATCCAATAATTTATCTACTGATTAGCAGGTGAATCCTATTAATGCTAGTTTTCAGAGGCAATGAGCTTGGAGAGCACAATTCAGTCCAGCCCTTGAGAAACCCAAGGAAAGCCTGAACCTCTGAAGCATCGAGAAGAGTAAACTAAGACTAAAGCTGTTGGTTTAAACCTGCAGAGGCCTGCTGATGCACCAAGAAAATGTGAGAGCTATTTCCCACCACAGGGCAAGTTATTAAAACCATGTAAGCCCAGCCAGGGTGGCTCAGTGGTTGAGCCTCCTCCCATGAACCAAGAGGTCCCTGGTTCGATTACCGGTTAGGGCATATGCTGAGATTGCAGGCTTGATCCCTAGTAGGGGGCATGCAGGAGGCAACCGACTGGTGTCTCTCATCCATGTTTCTCTCTCTCTCCCTTCTTTAAAACCAATAAAAACATATTTATAAAATTAAAAACAATGAAAACTCCCAAATTACAAGTGACCTGTAAATGCCCTGATGTCTTCTATGCCCATAAAAGAACCAAGGATGGCCCAGAGAAGTTTAGAAACGAGAGCTTGAAAGATACCCAATGTAGCTCTTACCTTCAGTTCTGCAACAAAAGCATTGGCTCTGACAACGTCCAGTGTTGTCACCCCAAATATCTTATTAGGGTTGTATACTCCTTGCTTCTTAAAAACTTCAGATGTGATTGGGATGGTGGAGTTAACCTAATAAATCCAAGAGACAGCATAATTTGCCAGGCATCCTAAGAACACAGTCATGTATCAAAGGAGATGGGTTATAGGGTGGACTTCCTCTGCTACCAGCATGCCTCCTTTCCCCTCCACATGAGCAAAGAAACTCTGCACTGCAGCAGGCACTCTTCCCCTTGGTGGCCCGAGCCCATAGTTCAAATAGGCACGACACCCTGGAACTATCAACTTTAAAATGTGACAAAGGCTACACAGGGCATCTTTGGCTCCAGCTAGAACTTACACCTGAATGGCCATTCCTAATAAAACAGCATAGCACAGGGCTAAAAGCTCAGATGGCACAGGATCAAGTCCCAGCTCTGTCACTCCACTGGTAACCTAGGGAAAGCTACTTTAACTCCCTAAGACTTGGGTTCTTTATCTGTAAACAGGGATAAAACTACCTCATAAGGCTGTTGAGAAGATTAAATGACTATGTACATGGCAAGTGCCTAACACTTGGTTCAGAGAAACAATATAATTAAAACTAAACAGCAAGATATATATTTGGCACTAGTCAGTTCCCTGATAAAAAAAGCAATTGCTTTCTACTTTTGACCAAATGGCTCTGAGGAAGGGAAAGACAGGACCCTCTTCTCAGAGGCCACTACATAAGCTCTGGGTGTTTATCAACGGTCACATTCCTCAGTCAACATCACTATCATGGCACTGTCATACTCAAGAGGCCAGAATCCAGGCAATCAGGAGGGAGGAATGAATGAAGAGGGCTGCTGCTAAATATAACCCAAGCGCCTGCTAGCACAGGCATGGGAACCTTCTCAGAAAGGACACAGCAGTTTCTGAACTGAAGATTAAGCAGGCAGGACTTGATCTAACTGCATTATGAGATACACGTATAAGTTTCAGAAGAAAGGGAGTGTTGGGGAACCAGAAATTGCAAACCCTGAGTAGAACATAGTAAAAGGAGTTCAACTGGCTCCCACAATCATGGCTGGAAGAAGCCATAAGAATGGACTTATTTTCCAGATTGAGAAACTAAGATTATTTAGATAAGGGAAGTGATTTGCCCAAAGGCATTCAGTTGATGGAAAAACCAGGTTAAAACTCAGTCTATGCCAGAAGGAATCCTTCGGAAATAAATGTAAGGACCTCTTTTTAGTGCTCCCAACATACCATTTCAGTATGTTAGTCTGATTATTCTCCCTATAAGACATTAGCACACTTTTGTCTTATAGGGAGAATAATGTATCAGCAACTTATGAGACAGCAACACTCACCGGATTTGCAATGATACAGATCATGGCCTCAGGGCAATTCTTGGCACAGGCAGCAGTCAGGTTTGCCACAATTGTGGCATTGGTGTTGAACAGGTCATCCCGAGTCATACCTGAGAATGATCCAATTTAAGATGTTCACAAAGCACAGGACAATTTTCTAAAAGCTGTGCCACAAGCTGTGTGTTAGCTGTCAAACATGAGTGACACAGGGTCCCCATTTTATTTATTTAAATATATTTTTATTGATTTCACACAGGAAGGGAAAGGAAGAGATGGAAACATCAGTGGTGAGAATCATTGATCGACTGCCTCCTGCACACTCCCCACTGGGGATTGAGCCCACAACCCTGGCATGCCCCCTTGACCAGAATCGAACCTGGGACCCTTTAGTCCACAGGCTGACACTATATCCACTGAGCCAAACCAGCTAGGGCAGGCTCTCCATTTTAAGTTAAACAACCTTGTAAGGAAAACAGTCCAATGTGACAAGTGCTGAAACAGAGGTCTGTGAGGGTGGGGAGGGGGGGATGGGAGTCAGGCAGCTGGATTGCTAACAGCAGCCTCATTTTCAATCTGCAATTTCGAGTCAGGAAACTCGAAATCTGAGGAAGAGGGTCATGAAGAATTCCCAAGGTGGAGACAAGTGGAAGAAAGGGCATTCCAGGCTGGGGAGGAGGGATGAGCAGAAAACACATGAGGCCTTGATTTTTATCCCACGGGCAATGGAGAGCTTTGAAATTTTTTCTGCAGCAAAGAGATCTGACTAGATTCATTTTTCATGGAAAACCACTCCCTCAACTGACTTGTAGGGAGATGCTAGGAAAGGCTTCCAAACCTGGTTTTCTCGGGACTCCAGCTGGAATAACCACCAAATCACAACCTTTCAGGCAGTCTGGCAGCTGATCAGGTCCGAGGTAGCCTAGAAAAAAACGCCCAAGAGAGCAATCTTATAGTTTGCAACCAAGAGAGGCTAGCACATCTATGGGGACAGAACCCAGAGAACTGCCCATTGTGTCAGTGCTGACTGCAGGCCACAGAAAGGCTGGCAAGCCCACCGTGATGTGTGATTCCTTTCCTTGAGGACTGCCATCCTGTGTGCCTGACATTTCTGGCGGGCAGGAATGCCCCCTTTCATTCTACTTTCCTCCAGCCTCCATTTGCCCAGGCCTGGATTCAGAACGGGTAACCCTCCAGGTTTGCATAAAACCAAACCAAGCCAGCTGCTAATCTTTACTCCCTAGCACATGTAAGTCGTTCTCAGCTCCCAGTTAGAAGAGCTGAGATCAATCTAACAAAAGTGCCATCTTAGGGTCAGACCAAAAGGCACACTGAAGGCCATGAAAAAAACCCTTTGCTGATAAAAAAGAACTCTTAAGTATTAGTACCTATTTTGTTTATTCCTAGTATCTGAGGAAAAATAAGGTCTATATTCAAGGATTTCAGGGAAATTTGCTCCAAGACCAAATCTGCTTTGATTTTAATAGACTTTTTCCTTATTTGCAAAAGCTTTCAGAAACCCAAATCTACATCACAAAAGAAAATGAACAAATTCAGAGGGACTATGGAAGCTCATAAACATGACTTGACAGCCAGCCTCCTGTGTTGTTTGTACCTTTCTGGACAATAATTTGGTACTTTATAGCAACAGCTTTAATGTAGTCATACTAAGTGCCTTAAGGATTCTAAGAAACAAAATATAAAGATGAGGGTATTTATCCCAGCTTATATATTTAGAGGAAAACTGGAAAGAGCCAATGGCCAACAGTATGGGAATAATAAGTGGTAAATTATAGTAAAGCTTTAAAAGGATGTCACCAAGAACTTGGTACATGGGAAATGTTGCTAAGATGTGAGGGTAAAATAAGCAGCACATATAATTTTATGTAATTATTAATTACTTCTTAGATAACATATCTCTGTCTCCCAAATAGGAAGGCAGATTTGTCGAAGGTGGCCATGCTTTGGAGAAGGTAACCCTGGGTGGAGAGTTGGCCCATAACATGGGCATGAGACCTACAGTGGCTAGGAACAGCATTTCTCACTGCCCCAAGTCCCAGCAGGAGGCACCCCTTCACCATCTGCATAACACTTTTCAAGATAGAAAAAATTTCAAATGGACAGATCACACCATCTTTATTTTTTGGAAAGACACGGTTACTTAAATTTTTATAGAGTCAAGTCCAAAAAAGTGTGATTATTTGTAAAAGTTAATTCTAAACTGAACACGAACATCCCAAATCTCTGAACATCTAGTTTCATCCAAGGCTCTTACTGTAAACTTGGATCCTAGCCTCCTAGGGAGAAGAGATGTAAGTTCTCCAGGCCCAGCGTGCCCAGTACCTTTCACAGTCGCTCTGGTCTCAATGTGGCTCAAATCTGCAGCCACTCCAGGAGTATGAGCAATATCATAGAGGGTCAGGCGGCTCACCAAAGGGCTATTCTTCAGGAGAAGCGAAAGGGGCTGCCCAATTCCTCCAGAAGCCCCCAGCACAGCTACTTTAGCATTGTTCTAAGAAGAGACACAGAGAAAGAACTCTTAAGATACAATCAGCATTAAATGGATTCACATGAAAAGGATACCTCCTGCGAAGTACTGCACTGGCCTCTTATTGCACAAAGGGAGATACAACTGTAACTGTACCATTCAAAGATCCAGTTTCCTTGTGAAGGTTAGAGGCTTGTCTCAGGAACATGGGGAAGAACTCATGTCTGTAGAGATTTGTGACAGGGTATACTTATAGCAGCCTCTGAAGGATGAATAAGCTTTACTCATTCAGGCAGCTGGATTGCTAACAGCAGCCTCATTTTCAATCTGCAATTTTAAAAACTATAAACTACCATTTATTGAGCACCTACCCACAGGCTAGCCATCACACATGGGACTGCAGTAATGAAGACCTCTGCTGGCTCTGGAGGGGACAAGCGAGCAGATGTGCGAGGAGCTGAGGGAAAAGAGCTATGCAGACTGTGCAGGAGAGACAGGGTGGCCATCAGCTGCCTGGGGAGGAGGGGTCAGGTAAGATTCCAGCATACTCTTGGCTGGAGCCAAAGGCAGGATTAGGAGGGACGTATATGTTTAAAAAGCCCCTTCTCTCCCAGGTAAGTTAGATCTGCATGCAGCCCCAGGCTCCTTCTCCCAAACTTTGGTGTTCATTAGAATCACCGGCTGAGGTCACAAAACCAACAAAGCCCACAGAGGGCCAGGCTCCTTCAAATAGGCTCTCTCAAGTTCCCCAAGTGATTCTGACACCCAAGTTTGAGAAGCACTACTGCTCCACATCAAGCAGCAGTTGGCCTGGGCATGTCAGCTGGAAGCTTTAAAAGTGACAGCTTAGTTGGGAAGAAGGGGTCAGTCCAAAGAAACTAACTGCCTCAAGAACATCTGCAACGACAAAACTAGAAGCATCTGTATCATTTTATTGGTCAGCTTACTGGAACTAAAGTCATAAAACATGACTTTAAACAGCCACTCAGCGCTAAGTAGATCTAATTGGTCATCATCTAATTGCCTTCATTTTTTTAAAAACAGCCTCACTGAGATGTTATTTTCCATTGCATAAAATTCACTCATTTAAAATGTACAATCCAATGGTTTTTAGCATATTCAGAGTTGTACGATCATTACCCTATAAAGCAACTCTTATTTTCCATTTCCCTACAACCCCTGGCAACTACTAACCTTCTTTCGTCTCTATGGACCTGCCTTTGCCTATTCTGGATATTTCACATATGAATGGTCTCACACAACACATGGCTTCTTATGTTGGCTTCTTTTACTGATCACAAGGTTTTAAAGGTTAATCCATGTTGTATTCAGAACCCATTTCTTTTAGCCATTCATCAGTTGATGGACAACTGGGTTATTTCCACCTTTTGGCTATCATGAATAGTGCTGGTATGAAGATGCTTGCGTAAGTTTTTGTGCAGACATGTTTTGTTTTGTTTTTAATTTTATTGATTTTTAGAGGAAGGGAGAGGATTAGAGAAAGAAAAACACCATTAATTGGCTGCCTCTTGCACACCTTATTGGGGATTGAGCCAGCAACCCAGGCATGGTGACCTCTTGGTTCTGGGTCGACATTCAACCATTGAACCACACAGGCAGGGCTGTTTTTAATCTTTGGTTATATACCAAGGAGTGCAATTGTTGGGTCATGTGGCTACTCCATGTTTAACCTTTTGAGAAACTGCTAGACTTTTTTTCCAAAATGGCTGATATTCATCCATTAAAGCTCACTACAATTCAACAGGCACCTACTTCTGCTACACACCAGGCTGACTTGCCTGCAAAGACTCCCAAACTTAACACCTAGTGTGACAAGTTACACTGAGGCAGATTCTCAGAAGAGCAGCAGCACAAATAGGGGTGGAATAAACTGTTAGAGGGGGTTTTGAAGGATGGTAGTTCACCAAGTAGATAATGGAGGGAGGAGACAAGTAGTCCTGACAGTTCTTTATGAATCTAGCACTGTTAGATACATATGGAGAAAGGAAGAAGGGAGGGCCAAGCACAGAATTATTGGGTCCTGGTGGGCAATGGGGAACTACTGAAGGGCCTCAAAAGCTGGGAAGAACATGACCAGCTTTTCTGGGTTTTAGAAAGATATGACACATCAGACCGTCAAACCTCAGAGGGAAGGTAGGGGAGGGTGCAGGTAAGGGGGAGAGATCAACCAAAGGACTTGTGTGCATGCATATAAAATTAACCAGTGGTCATGGACAACAGGGGTTAGGGCATATGTGGGGATGGGTTTGGGATGGGAATGGGGGGATGAGGACAATTATATGATAACATAATCAATAAAGAAATTTAAAAAAAGAAAGATATGAAACAGTGGAAGATGGACTGGGAATATACAATAGAAGCAAGGAGACAATTGTAATAGTTTAAACATGATTGAAGAACGGGATAAAGGGAGTAGCAAGAATGGGTAGATTATGAGGGATTTGATGAATAGTAGCTAATGATAGAGTCACCTCCTTCCCATTTTCACCCAAATGGTGAGTAGAGGAAGAAACAAACCTGGGGTGACAAATTTTGGCTCAAGCAGACAGCACTGCCTTTAACCAATAGAGAGAACTGACGAGTTTAGAGGTTTTGAAGAAAGGATAACGAATTGTTTGGCACACTGAATTTGGGCCACTTTAAACATCCATGCACAGTAGGACCCTGGACAAAAGACTTGGCCTGGAGGTCACAGTGTCTGCACTGGAATTAATGAAAGCCAGGAACATGGACAAGCACAAAAAGGAACAGAATGAGAAGAGCACTAGGATCAGAACACCAGCATATAAGAGGTGGGAGGAAGGCCACCCCACCCCAGACATTTTAAACAACTAATTCAATTACTACCTTCTTGGTGATCTTTCCTACAAGGGTCAGGCCTTATTATATAGTAACCAGAGGCCCAATGCATGAAATTTCCCTTTCACAACCTGGGAGCCCTCGGGGGAATGTCTGACTGCCGCTCAGGCGGGGAGGGGAACGGGCCTAACTAAGCCGGCAGACATCCTTAGCACTCATCTTTCTGACATACTGCCTTTCCAACATCTCTACTTGTAGGTGTAACAGGCATTTTAAACTCAACATATATAAAACTGATATATTCCACCTGCCCCAATGCACTCTATTGCGGTAGTTTTTTTTCCATCTCAGCAAACCCCAAAGCTTCAGAGTCCTCCATTCTCCCCTTCCTCTCAGTACCCCTCACCAAATCATGTCAGTAAATCCCACTGTCTTACCTTTGTCAGTTCCCTTCTCCCACTCCTCAGCATCAATCTTCATCACCTCCTACAGTCTTAAATTGACTCATTTTTGGCTTATCTCAAGTGCTACTTCTCACTCATCTTGATATACCCTGCAACACCCAGCCTAATTCTTGACAATCACAGATACACAAGATTCTTTTTCACATGAATTAAATGCACAAAAAAGTGATCGGAAGGACAGAAATTAGATAAGAAATTTGGAATCTCTTTTAATAATCACCCCTTTTTTGGGTGTGGCAAGATGAGCATCCCTGGATTTTGATTTTGGTTGTATTCAGAATCACCTGGGGCACTTGGTAATAAGAGAGGCCCAGATCCTACGCTCTTTAAATAAATATTGGCCTGTTCTTCATTAGCTTTTTGGTGATTCTGCCACACGCCAGAGTTTTGAGAACCACTGTCTTAGAAAATATAGCTAAAAATAGCTTAGGTTTTAGCAATCCCAGGCCACGTAATGCGCTGTTACAACACTGGGGGCAGACCCAGTCCACTACAGCATAAGGATCCTTCATAAAAGTCCTTAAGAGGAAGTAGTGTTCAGGTTCTTGCAGGGTTGGTTATTCAAAAACCGTTGACAGCGATCAGGAGAGCTGAATTTTAATGTTCTGGCTAAATGACTGTGTTAATTTTGGACCAGTTCTCCGCCCTCGGTACCACGCCTGTCTGTACTATGGAGTTAATAATTATTTGTACAGATGCTGCAAGAAGAACAAGGTTATTCACTCAACGTTGCATAAAAACACAAATTACTCTCGACCCTAGATCCCTGGCTTCTCAACCTTGAAGGATTGCAGTCTAAGAGCAAGCAAGCCCTCTGGAGGACCCCGGGAAAAGGGGGGGGGGCGGGGGAGTCGAGCTTGGGGATTCGAAGAAGTGCACTGGTTCTGGAGTTGGGGCACCTTCCCCTCTCTGCCCCGCACTTCCCGCCCGGTATCTGGACCAGCCTAGGGTGCCCAACCGCCGACCGGTACCCGGCGGCCCAGCGGTGCAGGCTGGCCCCCGGGTCGGGGCGGCTCGCGAGCTAGGGGCGCACGTGGCTTCCGCCTGCAGCCAGCCCCTCGCCGGGCCTACCTGGGCCGAGGTGCTGAAGCTGCGGCGGAGAGCGGCGCCGGCAGGCCGAGCGAGGGCGGAGAGCATGGCTGGGGCGGGCGGGGCGCGGACCAGCAAGCGAAAGAGCTGGCGGCGGGCAAGTGACTCCAACGACCTCCACAGGATGCAGGGCCTCCTCGCTCGGTTCCCGGTTCCGCTGGGCCTCGCGAGAGGAGCCCAACTTCCGGCCCCGCCCTCACGTCCCAGATCTCGCGGTATCACGACTGTCCCGTAGGGAGGCGGGACGACGCTCCCGGCCCAGGGAGAGTGCAGTCTAAGGCTGGTTCGAATCGAGTTTTGGGCGGCGAGTGGGGGAAGGACTGTCAGAGTTGGGGGACAAACTCTCCCTCCCAAGAGGTGCAAGAGGACGGGGTTTAGGCTGGAAGAGCCTTAGAGGAGCCATTTTTCAGGTGGGGCTCCAGACAGATTCTCAGTGGGAGACCGGCCAACAGTCGCGCAAGCAGGCCTGGCGGCCTGGGTGCGGTCCGAGCCCCCCGACCGCAGCTGAACCCACTACCCCTGCCCCTGGAAAGGAAAGGGGGCGGGAGGAGAGGTGGAGCGTCCCAGAGGTGGGGTAGCAAGATGGGGTCTCCTTTCATCTGTCACTCTCATGCATCTCTTTCTCACACTCACGTGCCGCCCAACCCCTGTCCCTCTGAGACACCGCAATTGAGAATGGCCGACTATGAGCAACGACTTAGCTCTAGGCACTGTTCAACGGGCTTTACAGGACAACAGCCTGTGTTAGAGGAAGAAACAGGTATCTAGGTAACTTATATTTTCACCCAAGCCCCACCCCTCAGGTCTGGCCAGCAATGCTGGGAACACAACCACATTGTTTCTGCTCTGGGAACCAAGAAACTGTGACTGCAGTTAAGGAATTTTATTCAGAGTTTACTCAGACAGAAAATAATAATGTGGTTCCTGCTCAAAAGGAGTTGATTTAAATTTATGAATTAAATTTAAGCTTCATTCCTCCCCCTCCCCCTGCTATTTTCTGGGCATACAAAGAATCCTTATCGGCAAAAAGGTCAGAGTCAAGTGGGGCAGGTAGATTTGCTGCAGATTGTAGCCTTCAGAGAGGAATGCACAATCCCCATGGTGGGTTGGTGGAGACGGGCATGGGTGTGTGTGTGTGTGGAAATCTATGACTAAGCCTGCTTGGAAGCGGTTAGTTTTTAAAGCAAAGATTAAAAGAACAATTCCCATGGGTACTAAAGTCAAGGTAGTGCATGGTGACTGGTTTACTATTTCCTCCCTCCCTTCCACTTGTTTATTGAGCTACTAAGATATGCCAGCCCAGTCTTGTTCAACTGTGAACAAGATCCACACATTTTATGCCTTTAAGACACTCGGCATCTAGTGAGAACAAGAGGTAAATTGCAAGCAGCATGATGTGGGCAACACTAGGAGACTTATGAGGTACTGTGGGAACACAGAGGAGCTGTATCTAATCCAGTTTGGGGTGTGGGTGGGGCCTGTGTGAGAGAGGACCTCCAGAGGATGAGACATCTAAGCTGAGAGACATACAGGAGGAGTAGGACCAGTCTGGGCCGATTCAGCTCCAGAGGAGCTGGGCATTGGAATTCTCAGAGGAGAGGGCAGTAGGAGCTGGACCTTGTGCAATGCAAAGTGTGTAAAGGAGAAAAGAGCCCAAAGAAAACCCTGGAGGTAGGAAAGCCTAGGTCCATATTCAGGGGACAGTGTATAGATAATTTCTGATGGAATGGGGATGAGAACAAGCAGTGTCTATCTTGCCACTGACCACATTCTCTGGTTATTTACCTTTCTATCTTAGCATTAGAACTTTGAGCACCTTGGGTGAGGTATCTTCTCTTTCATCTCTGTCTTTATTGTCCAGCATCTCTGTCTTTATTGTCCAGCATTTGGGGAGAGTTGAATGGTTTTAGATAAAGCTGGAAAAAGCAGGTTGGAAAAACCAGATTGTGTAGGACCTATGAACATTAGCTGAGAAGTTTGTATTTTATTTCTTGGGAAGCAAGCGTTTATCAAAGGCTTATATGTTGCCACCACAGCTGTGAAGATTAGACTGACCCGGGTATGCTAAGGACTTTAAGGGAAAAATGTGGGGGGCAGAAAAATTGTGTAGGAGGCTATCTTATGAGATCAAGATCGGAGTGATGACGGCGTTCATAGAAATGGAGAATGTGGGGCCAAAGAGGGAACAATCTTAAGGGCTTAAGAAATGAATGAAAGGAATGTGGGAAATCAGCCTGAGAGAATTATATTTGTACAGAAGTGAAAGGAGAGCTGGCTGGAGAAAATAAAGAGCTCCTTTTAAGATGGGCTGAATTGGAAGTGATGGTGAGTTATCCATATAGAAATAATAGTAGACAAATGGGGAGTTACTTCTAAGAAGAAATGTGGGATTGAAAGTCAGAAGAAAGGCCAGGCCTGAAGTCATCCCTCTCTAAGGGAAAGTTAAGGCCACGAGAGAGAAGCTATAATCACAGATTCTCAGGCTCACCCCCACAGATGGGGCTTGATACCCTCCCCATCCCTGCCAAGTTAGCCCTGTCATCACCTCCACAACTCACTACCTCCCAAGTCCTTTACTGGGGCCATTCCAAACAACTTGACAACAAAGCTGTTCTTACAATCAGTTCCTGTCTGCTTCCCTTTAAATCCCAAGATTGTTCATATCAAGCATTGACTATGCCAAGTGCTGTGCTCTGCTTCGCCCATGTAACTGTTTCACTGAACATTCAGGGCTGTATTCAAGAAACCTAGTGCATTGTAAAAACAGATTTATATCTTTATCCTTCCTCTTTCTTGGAATATTTGGTTGCCCTTGGATTACATCTAGTCACCAGGACAGACTCACTGCAATAGCCTAAATGTCTAGTTCACTTTAATAGTCAAAATTCTGAATTTAATTCAAAATTAAAGCAACTCTCCTTCTCTAGCTTTACTTAGGCTCCTACGTTTCCAGAGGAGGGTGGTTGACTTCTATATTCCTCCATCTTGCTTCATCATCTCCCCTGTACCACCACACCGCGCAGACTGAGGCTTCAGACCCATTGATATTGGAGGGGGATGTATGAATAGAGATGGGGCAGGAAAGGTCCCTTTGTCATGTGGGATTAGTAGTCTGTGAGCTTGATGAGAGTTTATCTCATTCTTTCCACCATATAGTGCTTTTGTGGGTCTCTCTTAACTGCAGTTTCCCTGACCTAGGGGTTACACTTGTCTTGCTGCTTTCAGTTGCTCCCTCAGCCCCTGGTTTCTGGAATCTCCCATTACCTGCAGTTGGTCCTTTGGCCTCCAGGTGGCTCCTTCTAGGCAAAGTCCATTAACATGGTTCCTAATTGGCCCTCTCCTGCCTGGGCCACATCTGGTCTATAGGGAACATTAATGCATCTTTTGCCTCAACAGATTATGGGGGTGCAGACCATTTAAATGCAGCCGCCTCAGACTATTCCAGGCGAGGGCCTACCACCAGCTTCTGTGCCTGCACAAGAGGGCACAGTCCAAGCTATTTTAGGAGTTTCTATCTGGTTTCATGATTTGTGAATGTTTGAAACTTGTGAGATGTGAATTTTGAAAAAAAAAAAAAAAAGAACAACAACAAAGGTGCTGAAAGGAGGGGGCTAAGGGAAAACGGAGGAGGAAGGATTAGGTAAGGAGAAGATGAGGTAAAGGATGCTTATCTCTGACTAGGAGAAAGCTGGAAGAGCATTTGGGCAGTTGGCGGGGGAGGGATTTCATACCCCGTGTCTTTAACCTTTCCAGGTAGAACTAGAAAATTATACAGAAGTTGCTCAGTGAGGACTCAAGGAAGGTGAGGAGGTTTGGATAAGAGTTGTAGGCCTTGGGGAAATCCTGGACAAATGAGAAATGATGAAAAGAGGATTCACTGGTGGTTATGGGAGCCAAACTGAAGTTCTATGGTAAGTATTTTCTGTGTGTCCAAGTCCTCATTGTTTCCTATGCCCATATCCCACACCAAGATCATGGACAAACAGGTTGGGCTACAGACTCATTTCCATATACACATCTGTGTATTCACATCTTTTGTTTTTTTTAATCCTTATTTGAGTATATTTTTCCATTGATTTTTAGGGAGAATGGAAGAGAGAGGGAAAGATAGAGACAAACATCGATGTGACAGAAATACATCGATTGATTGCCTTCTGCATGATTCCCAACTAGCGCCTGGGTTGGGGAGGAGCCTGCAATCAAGGTACAATGCCCTTGACTGGAATTGAACCTGGGATCCTTTGGTCCACAGGCTGACGCTCTATCCATTGAGCAACACTGGCTAGGCTGTATTCCCATCTTTGAATCCCCTGGATCTACACAGGGGATTTATATTTATTTTTGATTGTCATATATGATACAGTATACCAATCTTAAGTGTTCAGTTGGTTGGTTTTGACCATTTATACCCTTAAAATGTCCACTCAAACATGAGACAGAACATTTTCATTCCAGAAAGTTTTCTCATGATTCTTTTCATCAGTTCTCCAAGACAGCTACTTCCTGTCACCATAGATTCATTTTGCATGCTCTTTTTCTAAAAAAATATTTTTTATTGATTTTTTACAGAGAGAAAGGGAGAGAGAGCCAGAAACATTGATGAAAGAGAAACATTGACCAGCTGCCTCCTGCACACCCCCTGCTAGGGATATGCCCGCAACCAAGGTATATGCCTTTGACCAGAATTGAACCTGGGACCTTTCAGCTTGCAGACTGATGCCCTATCCACTGAGCCAAACCAGTTTCGGCTGCATGTTCTTCATTGTATATTTTTATACACAATATACAAATACATTAATACCCACCTTGCCTAATCCCACATGAACACAAATTGCACATGCATATATACTGACCATTTTGTACTGTAGGCTTAGATTGTGTTTAAGAGCTAATAAATATTTGCTATTTGGTCACATATTGTATAATAACTTTCTCTTCAACCCTAAAATCATACCTCAAGTGAGATATTTTAAATCTTTCCTTTCTGACTCTTGGAGCTAAAACAAAGAGAGAGGTGGTAATCATTCCACCTTGCATGATAGTTTTCTTTTCCTGTAGGGTATTGGAAACTGGGGATTTATATTTTAAAACAGCACCATATTTAGATAGATAGATTTAGCTTTAGTTGTGGCTCAGTCCTGCTTAAAGTCAAAAGGATTTGACTCTCTAAGATACATTCCAGTAAAGCAACTATAAGGTTATGGACTGGCAGAGTAAAGGCAGCAGGAAGCTGCTGGCAAAGAGCTCCCAAGAGCTTAGAGTCAGTGATGGTGATAGAGCTAAGTCAAGAACAAAACCTTCAGTCTTCCAGACCAGTAAGAGGTTAGGGAAGTGAAAGAAAAGCTGAGTCCAGAGCCTGGTCAGGGCCAAGGACCCATGTCAGGAGCAGAAGGTGAGGCCTAACCCCATCAAGGAGCAGGGGAGAAACAAGTGCTGGAGGCAGAGTTGGAGGAGGTGAGACCAGACATGGTGGCCACAGCTTTTGGGAGTGGGGTGTTGCAGTTCACCAGCCCTTATCTCTGAAAAACTGATTTGCTGCATAGATAGACCTGTCAACTTCACAAGACCACTAGGTACCTCTCGGATGCAGTAAGCCTAGATTTGGGGACATGGAAGTGAAGGCAAGAAAGGAGGTAAGGGATAGGGGTGTGAGCAGCTGGTTCTAGACCTCAGGCTCATACCTGCTACTTCTAAAATACAGCGATACTGGCTATCACTAATAGAACCTGGTGCTCCTCTGAAATGAGATTTCTGTACCACTTGTGTATACGCTGAAGCTCTGTGGTGTTGTGGCCTAGGACTATGATCTCTAGCTTTCAAGGTTTCTAGGCACAAGAAGTGTTAGGCTGAAATCAAGGAAAGACTGTATCAGATCCTCGGACAACACCCCTGGTCCTTATCACTTATAACTTTGACCAGATGCTTTGAATGGTGCTTTCTGTGTATTGAGCTTGTAGCCATTACCGGCTCCTAGATGAAGTTGAAAAGAGATAGGATAGCAGTAAACGAACTTCTGTTTCCTAAGCTCCCACTCTATGCCAGGGTCAGTACTGGATAGTTTATATCAGTTATCTCAATATAACATTCATGTAGCCTTTTTAGTGTGTATTACTATCTCAGTTTGCAAGTGAGGGTATTGATATGTGCCACTGTATTTAAGCCTTGGTCATCCTGGCACAGCCTCAGTTTCCTACAGAGAACCAGGGGGTCACGGGGCTGGCTGTGGACCCTGACTCATATCTGTGCAGTTCTCTGGTCCCGGCTCAGTCAAGAGCCCAAAGTGAAGCTCATGGTCTGTCTGGCTTCTCCAGGAGCATTAAGTGATACTTCTTTTCCACTGGAAGCCAATGCCCATCAATTGTGCCCACCCAGATTGAGTTGCAACAAGCATTAGACCAAGCTCTGAGTGTCCGGAAACTCCTGTGAGAAGCCTGGGGTCAGGCCTAGCCTCTTAAAGCCATGCAGTCAAACAGAATGGAGGGTCCCAGGCATTGAGAAAGGCTGAGTCCAGCCAGTTTCCTCTTCAGTCTCAGGCTATGGCAACCCCTTCCAACTGACTGCTTTCTTCAATATAGACGTGCTCTCAGTGGAGCTGAGCTCACCAGACCCACTGCAGGACTGCTCTTGCCTGGCTGGGAGAGCTATACACAAGCCTCCTGGTTTAGAGTTAGGTTATCACAGGAAGGGTAAAGTACCTTCTTACTGGTGGATGTCTAGTGTTTTGGGACAAGGCTGTACTGGCACACTGCTTTCCTGACAAAGTAGGTGGCTTTGCTTGCCACCCAGAAAGTTGTGTGGGTTTCCCTGATGGGTCAATTAATAGAAGTTCAGTTTCATTCCATCAAACCAGATCTGCAGAGTGTGCTCCCTCAGATCACCCTTCCCACCTGCATGCTTCATCAACCCAGCAAGAACTATCTCACTAAACTCCCTGAAAGTCTCTTAAGAAGAGCAATGTTGTGCTGAAAGAGTCCAAAGGGGGATGTCTTAGACTTGCCATTTTGACTCCACTGTTGAAAATGATTTTGTAGAAATAATAAGTACACATGAAATTCACAGTGGCAGAAATCATACTCAGTAAAATCTGATTGAGGAATCAAATCTTTAATGTAAAATTCACATGGAAAAAAAAGACATTTTGGAAAAAATAATCTTGACTAAACAAAATGGAAAGTGAAAAAAATTAGAATTAGTTAACTGAAATATAGAAAATCAAGGAATAAATCAGTGGAATTCATTAAGGAAAATACTTTTGGCAAAATCTCAAAAGTAGTTTGATAGTTTTATGTAAAAGTACAATATCAAAATATTCTGAGGGCTCAAATGGTGGAGCCAGAACATCTTAAACCCTGTAGATTTCAGTGTAGCGTTCAAAGGGATGTTAGCGCTCAGTCCTCCACTCACCCAGGCTAGTGGTACCACTGATCTTCAGCTCATGGGGTTGTGTCATCTCTCAGAACCCTGTGTGAGGTTCAGAGACTGCTCTCATCCCTCCTGCCCTTGACTGGCACATGAGGGACAGTTCTTGCCTGACCAGGGAGAGTGCTGTTTTGGGGAAGGAGGTAAGTCTGAAGAATATCCCTGTGGCTGAGTTTTTACCTGGATGCCAAGAGACAACCCCTTGGCTAGTGAATAGAGAGAGGTTGTAATGGGGAGATGTATATTAGGTGGGAGCTTAAGGATGGGGTGTGAGCGATAGACCAGATAGGTTGGAGCCAGTTTTTTGATTGCCTTAACAAAGTGGTTGGACTAGTCCCAAAGCCTGTCCTCTCTCCCCTGTACTCACCACCTCCAGAATGGCCTGCAGACAGGGCTTTCAGAGTCTGAGGACCTGACCAAAGGTGAGGATGGGGAGGTCCTTCAGAACCTACACATGGAATCCTACAGGTGGAATCTATATGTATGACATCACGTCAGAAGGCCCCATGGTGACTACAGTAGTGAACAAGAAGGACAAGGTCTCTGTCCTAACAAGCCATACATTTCAGTGGGAGGAGACTGTTGATAAAGCCAACAAACAATGAGTGATAATGTCAGGTAATGACAAGTGAGGTGAAGACAAACTTAATTTTTGAAAAAGATCACCCTGACTGTCATGTGAAGATTAGACTGTAGGGAGAAAGCAAGAAGTCCAGTGGGCAAGTATTATATCATCAGGAGAGGGATGATAATATTTTGGTCTAGAATTTTAACTCCGGAGATGGAAAGAAGTAGATGGATTTGGAATATATTGAGGTAGTAGAGCTAATAGAGTAGATGTGAGGGGTGGAGGAAACAGGGATTAGTGATGTGGACTTATGTAACTAGGTAGATATTGGTGCTATTTATTGAGACAGAAAACTAAAAGATAAACATGCATTAGAGGTGTGGACATGAGTGAATTAAAAGCCCAATATTGGTTTTGTTACATTTGAGATGCTAATTAGGCATCTAAGTGGAGTCAAGCTCAGTGGAGAAGTCAAACAGGGATACAGTTTGGGACTCATTGATATACAGGAGTGAGATGAACTAGCTAGACTCTAGATTTTAGAGTGGTGGTTTTCAACTAACATTTTTTAAATTAAGCAATAATTTTCAGTTTACTAAATGAAATAGACCTGCAACATGGTCTGCATTGAATACAAAAAGCCATCTATTGCAAGTGACAAGGAAACTGGGTAAAAGGAGGGAAAGCATTGGAAAAAAGATTCTCTTGGAATAAAAAAAATCAAACCATTATTATAAAGGATGTTACCAAGAACTGTTATATTTTCCCCATCTCATTGATGGAAGTCAACAAGAACATCTAGCACTTTGTGTTCATGTCAAATGTCAGATCAGAGCATCTTAACAAAAAAGAAGCCCTTGCCAAAACCGGTTTGGCTCAGTGGATAGAGCATCAGCCTGCGGACTGAAAGGTCCCAGGTTTGATTCCGGTCAAGGGCATGTACCTTGGTTGCGGGCACATCCCAGTAGGGGGTGTGCAGGAGGCAGCTGGTCGATGTTTCTCTCTCACCGATGTTTCTAACTCTCTATCTCTTTCTCTTTTCCTCTATGAAAAAAAAAATCAATAAAATATATTTAAGAAATAAAAGAAGCCCTTAATCTCCCAAACCATATATCAGTATATCAATAACTAACTCCAGAGTTCAAATTCAAAAGAAGAGAAAATGGCAATTGAAAAAGTGATGTGGCAGTAATCCTATGAATGGATTTTTGATATCTCTTCTTCCAGGGGACATTTGGCAACTCCTGTACTTTTTTGGTTGTTACAGATGGATTGGAGGAGGTTTGCTACTGGCAACCACTGGGTGGAGTCCAGGCATGCTGCTAAACATCCTATGATGTACACTTATTGTTTCCCAAACTTTTGACATATGTATACCCCTTCTATAATTTTTGTAACGCTGAGTACCCCTCATACACATGAGAACGTAGAATTAGGCACAGCTAAGCAAGGTGCAGTGCATATCCCCACCAAACTCCAGTGCAACGCGTACCCCCACTAAACTCTTCCCGTACCCCGGAAGAGTTTGGGAAACACTGACAGGTGAGTCCCCACAACAGAAGATTGGCCTCAAATAGCTGCCGAGGTTGAAAAGCCCTTTCCTAGAATGAAAGTGTAGATAGAGAAGAAAGGTGACTATGACCAAGGGCATTCTTACATGAAGATAGAGCCTCCCATAAAGAAGACAGCAGGAACAGAGGTAGGAGGGAAGCCTAGAGTGTGTGTGTGTGTGTGTGTGTGTGTGTGTGTGTGTGTGTGTGTGTGTGGACTTCCGGAAGTGGAGAGTACTGGGGAAGGAGGAATGCTCAACTGGGTTAAACGCAGCTAAGAAACTCCCATCATTTCAGCACATAGAGAAGTGACTAACGGATTAGGTGAGATGGACATTGTGATGACCTTGATAAGAAGAGTTTCTGTGGTTTGATAGGGTTAGAAGCTCCAGGGGAGAAGCTTGCGCCAATAGCCAACACTTACTGAGCATTTATTTCCTCCCTGCTCAGAATACCTTATGTGTAATTTCATTAACCCACACACTACAAATAGGTACTATTATACTCATTTTATAGAACTATTATGCTAATATTACCCCCATTTTACAGAGATGCAAACTGAAGCACACAGAGACTAATGACCATAAGGCAGCCCATATTAAATGGCACAGCTAGGATTAGGATGTAGAGAGTTTGGAGGTAAGGAAGTGGAGACAGTGATTCAACACCACCCTTTTGAGAAGTCTTGCTATAAAGAAAACAAAGATGGGTACAGATGATGTTTTGTGCTAATAGGAATGATCCATGTAGAGGTTGAAATTGATGGAGGGGAGGCTGAGAACAGAAGTTCTTGAGGTGTCAAGGGTTTGGGCTCACCCAGAGCATTATACTGGTAACTGAAGTGGATTCTAACTGTTTTGATCAAGATTACCTACCTCTGGATTCAACTTCTCAATCAGTTCCTACTGTGCTGGGCAGCTCCTTGCAGCCTCCATCCACCCCTTGCTAAAAGGAGGCTTCCCTGCGGGAGCTGCTGCACAGGCCCAGCTCTTCCCCTTCAGTATCCTTGGAGCACCAGTCATGCTCAGGAACCAGTATCTCAGCCCTGCAGTCAGGAGCCAGGGCCCAAGTTGGCCAAGTGGTTTTGTCAGTACACATCAGCAATTCTCCACCCAACATTGACCTTCATGATCCTTATAGTAAGTCTGCTCAGGCTCTTCACTCATTACTCTCTCCCTGCTGTTCCATACCAGTCTCCTTAAACTCTCTCAGGTACTGAATGTTCTTGTCTTCTTTTTCACCCTCTCTTCTGGCTAAGTCTTGTGTAGCTCCTCCTCTAACATGAGACACTGACAGCATAGTACTTTTCTTGTGTTTTCTGTCCAATGTCTGCATTCATACTAGGTAGGTCTAGTTTACCACAGTTATTTTCAGTGCCTGGCATGTAATAGGTGCTCAGTAATTATATGCTAAAAAACAAATGAACTGTTGACTATTTTATAGCTTGCTTGTTATTTAAATAGTTCATATGTTATTATGTAGTTTAATGTTTTATTCTCTGCACACATTTCACTACAAAATTTATTCTTATTTTTATCAATTTTTACCTGAGGATATTTTTTTCATTGATTTTAGAGAGAGGGGAATGGAGAGGGGGAGAAGAAAAGGGAGAGAGAGCAGGGATAGGGAGGGAGGGAGTGAAAGAGAGAGAGAGAAAGAGAGAGAGAGAGAGAGAGAGGTGTGAGAGAAAAATATTGATCAGCTGCCTCATGCATGAGCCCTGACTGGATCAACCCACAATGTTTCAGTGTATGGGACCATGCTCAAAACCATGGAGTCACAGCAGCCATGACTCACTACAGAATTTTGAGGCTTTTCTGATTATGTTCATGATTACTTTAATCTTTGCCTGAAGATGTATTAAAAAAGAGTTTAATTCAATATCTTATTTTTTGAATATTCATTTAAAATAGAGGCAATAAGCTTTACGTTATTGTTTCTTCCCTATAGGCTAACTGATTTGGTTCTATGTGAACCAATGGAGCTTTATAACATCTTGAATCAGGTCACAAAACTATCCAGATTGACTGAACCCAACTATCTCTGTTTATTGGGTAAGTACTTAAAAATATTTTGTGGATAGCACTCTTTAAACATTATTTTTAAAATGTTTTAAAACTTTTAGAGATAGAGGAATAAATGATAAGAAATCAGACTTATTAGTCATAGCATAAAATGCTGCTATTCATTCACATGACTTGAAAATCATTACAGATTATATCTAGTTTCACTAAAACAATATTTCCTGAGTCCTATTGTTTTAGTGAAATATAGCAAACATCTAACAGCTATATAGTAAAAGTAATAAACACCCATGTACTCAGATTTGACATAAATTAAATGTTACACAGATGTACTTCTTTTCTGTATCCCATCCTGAACCTACTTTCCCTCCCCAAAGATAACTGTTTCTATACTTTTACATGTTTACTGCATATGCAGGCATCCCAAAATAATGTGTTCAAATATTTACACAAATAGTATCATAATGTACAATCATTATGCAACTTGCTTTATTTGGCTTAAAATTATATTTTTAAGATTCACCCCCCATGTCTAGATGTGAAAATCTAATTTATTTACTTTGACTATTAGCTATGATATGGATCTATTCCTAATTGATTGCAATATGTTGCTTGCATTGTGTGCTTCTAATAGATAGTTCCGCAATGAACAACTTTGTGCATCCCTCCTTACTCATATGCAGCAGTTTAACTGCCTATGGTATAAGCTTAAGGTAAGTCAGTGAACAGGGAGATCATGGGAACCCAGGAATATTACGTTACTTGTTCTACATGCTCAAGTTTAGAACCATGATAAGAGGGAATATTCTGACTTTACTCTCAATAAGTTGAAATTTGACTTTTAAAGTTACTTATATTATTTTGTAAGTTCTGAAATAGTCTAATAACATCTGTACCTGCCACAAATTTATTTTATTTTTTAAAATTATTTTATTGATTTTTTACAGAGAAGAAGGGAGAGGGATAGAGAGCTAGAAATATCAATGAAAGAGAAACATTGACCAGCTGCCTCCTGCATAGCCCCCACTAGGGATGTGCCCGCAACCAATTTACATGCTCTTGACCAGAATCGAACTTGGGACCTCTCAGTCCGCAAACTGACGCCCCATCCACTGAGCCAAACGGCTTTGGCCACAAATATTTTTTATTGTGTTAATTTATACATATAAAATTTATCACTTTAAAGTGTACAATTCAGTGTCATTAAAGTACTTTCACATTGTTGTGCAACTGTTGACATTGTCTGGCTCCAGAACTTTCTCATCATCCCAAATTGAAATTCTGTGTCCATATGGGTTATGCATATCTACAATATATATATATAAAAGCCTAATATGCAAAGTGTCCCCTCGAGAGTTCGACTGACCAGTTCAGTCGCTCACTATGATGTGCTCTGACAATCATGATGTGGCATGGAATGAAGGACAGCCCTGGCCAGCAGCTGGCATTGCTAGGGACACTACCCATGCACAAATTTTGTGCACTGGGCCTCTAGGATGCATATAACTACGTTGGCTAATCTCTTCCAACTCTCCCTCCTCTCTTCCCTCTGAGATTCTTTAGTCTGTTCCATGTTCCCATGTCTATGGTTTTGTTTTATCATCAGTTTATTTTATTCATTAGATTCCTTGTTCGTTTAATTTAAAAATATATATATTTTATTGATTTTTTACAGAAAGGAAGGTAAAGGGATAGAGAGTTAGAAACATTGATGAGAGAGAAACATTGATCAGCTGCCTCCTGCACACTCCCTACTGGGGATGTGCCCGCAACCAAGGTACATGCCCTTGACCGGAATCAAACCTGGGACCTTTCACTGAGCCAAACCGGTTTTGGCAATTGTTCCTCTTTTTACACCCCCTTCCCCCATAACTCCCCTCCACCCGGTTCCCACCCCACCCTCTTTCCTTGCCTCCCACCAAACTGTCCTCATCCATAGGTGTACAATTTTTGTCCAGTCTCTTCCCGCGCCCCCCACACCTGTGATAGGGCAGCTCAGAATAGTGGAACAACACCTTGAGTTTTAAGCTGACAAAAGCTATAATTTACCAGCCAAATATATGATGATGATGTGCATTTTCTAAGTAGTTTGGTCATGTGTTCTTTTGCATAAACGGTTACTAATTAAATACTCTTCCTTTTCAGATGTGCGTTCCAAACAGGAGTATGATGAAAGCCATGTGATTACAGCCCGTCGAGTGAAGAAGGTATCCTGATATAGTCAGAATCTGGGCAGGCAGGCTGGCTGTCTTACAGAAGATGGGAAGAGTGGGAAGTTGTATCCTAGATCCAGGAGGTGGCATCTACTGTTGAACTTGGGCAGCAGAGGCAGGACCACCCTTGTGCATCCAACATGAGGGTCTCCCACACTTCTCCTGCACTCCCTAGGGTGTCCCTCCCACCATCATAGACAACCGCTTCATTAAACAAATATTGATTTAATTCCTTTATGTGCCAGGCACTGTTCCAGACCCTGGTGATAGAACAAAATACAAGATGCTCTTAATTCATCTCTACCCTCTCCGAGTTTTTGTTCTACTTAGGGAACAAACCATGGGTGAGTCTGTTCCATATACATAAAGACAAAGCCCTTCTTCAGCAGTTGCCATGCCTGACTCTGGGAGTGAGGCCCTTTTCTCTGCCTCCACTGGGTATCTTCTTTGTCAAGACATTGTCATGCCTGGCAGCCTTCACTCAGGATCCATCTCTGATCTCTGCATCCTGACCACATTCTCTGCCCTTGACTTCCAGGTTCTTTTTTTGCCTCCCTGATTCCTTCTCTGTCTCTTTGGTTCAACTTCATTTTCTCCTTCTACATATAGAGAAAACCACTGGGCTATCTTTGGTCTCCTTCAGATCTATTAGTATACTTTCTTGCTCAAAGATCTTATCTAAGCTCCCAACTTCAAGTATACATATAGTTGAGCAGTTCTGTCAATTTTACTTCTAAAAGTTTGTCTTGTAAAATCCCCACAGCCACTTTGGGTGTTCTAACTCTAGCTCTTTCCCAGATAACTTGACAGGGAGCATGGGCCCTGGCTCATGTATTTTTCCAGGATAAGCTTGCTGCCTAACATGCTTTCCCCAAACCCAATCGATCTTTATCTGTTTGTGTTTTTTTTGTTTTGTTTTTTTAAATATATTTTATTGATTTTGTACGGAGAGTAAGGGAGAGAGACAGAGAGCTACAAACATCGATGAGAGAGAGTCATCAATCAGCTGCCTCTTGCACACCCACCACCGGGGATATGCCCGCAACCAAGGTACATGCCCTTGACCGGAATCGAACCCAGGACCTTTCAGTTCCCAAGCCGATGCTCTATCCATTGAGCCAAACCGGTTTCGGCTGTTTGTGTTTTTTTTTTGTTTGTTTGTTTGTTGTGTGTGTGTGTGTGTGTGTGTGTGTGTGCGCGCGTGTGTGTATGTGTGTTTGTGTGTTTCTGTTTTTGTTTTGCCCTTGGATTTTCAACTCTCTGGCTCCATTCCTCTAGCTCTAAATCCCCTGTGTTTCCTTCTTTGCTTTTTGTAGCCTATTCAGAGCCCCTTCATGATGGATGGCCTTTAGTTTTCAGCTTAGCTCTCAAGTCTGCATATCCTTCTGGCAGCATCCCCAACTCTGGAAAAATGCCATTCTCTCTGTCTCAGTCCTTCACCAATGTTTTTGCCAGCAGATTGCAACCTTTAATGAACTCTCAGCCCCAGCAGGACATGGAGCCTCTCTCCCTGATGCACCTCCCTCTCCAGCCTTAACTCCAGCATAGTTCTCTCACCTAATACCTCAATAGCATTGCCCTGTTGCGTTTCTTTGGTTCTAAGATGCCCATTCCCATATCCCCTTATATTTTCACATTTCTAAAATTAGAATGTATCCTACAATTGATATGCCTCAAAAACACATCTATTGTTTTCTGCCTGGCACTCCCTACCTCCCCGCCCTTTTTTGAGGGGGACTTCTCTCCCTGCTCAAAGAAGGGGGTTCTAGTGGTGCTCAGTACAATGATATCCACACCCTGGCCACAAATCTGTCAGGGATAAAAACTGAACAGCTTAGAATTAGAATTTAAAAAGGCAGCTCTTTCTATTTTGGCAGTGAAGTTTGGAGGATAGGAGACTGAGCATCACTATCGGTGGTGGCCATGACTTGGGCCTCCAGAAAAGTTATCTGAGAAGGTGAAGTCAGTGTGCAGGAGAAGCAGAGGAGAGTCTGAGAGGGAGGTCTGGGCTTTAGAGCCCTGGTTCAGGTTTTACTCGGGACCAGTTGCTCCCTGCCCTGCCTGAAGTATTGTTGTATGCCAATAAATCCCTTTTTATGTACATTCCTGATTGCAACTGTTGCTAAATTGGTGGTGCATCTTACAATCAATGGTCTCTTAAGATCTAGGAAATATAACCCATGTGGATTCTGAACATACTGCTCTCTCTGAGCACAGAGTAGGGGTATGCTTTGCTCATTATTGCATCCTGGGTGTTCTCTCTGGTTCCTGACATCAAGTTGGTACTCCATAGCTATTTGTTGACTAAAGGTAATGACTAGAATCTGTTCCTTCTGCCTCAAAGACCCCTCCAGTCCTTGTCCATCTGACAAATGTCCACTTGTCTCTGCAGCCTCATCTTAAATGCCTCCTATTCTGTATGCCTTTCTGAGTCCTCTAGACCAACTCAGGCAATTTTCCTTAAAAAAAATTTTTTTAATCAAACCATGAACCAAGAGGTCACTGGTTCAATTCTAGCTCAAAGCACATGCCTGGATTGTGGGCTCAATCCCCAGTAGGGGGCATGCAGAAGGTAGCCAGTCAGTGTTTCTCTCTCATCAATGTTTCTATCTCCTTCTTCCTTCCTTTCTCTCTAAAAAATCAATAAAAACATATTTTTAAAGAAAGCTCTGTATTCCAGCCCTGACAGTTTGGCTCAGTGGATAGAGTGTCAGCCTGCGGACTAAGGGGTCCCAGGTTCCATTCCAGTCAAGGGCTTGTGCCTTGGTTCTGGGCACATCCTCAGTGAGAGGCTTGCAGGAGGCAGCTGATCAATGTTTCTCTCTCATCAGTGTTTCTGCCTCTCCATCCATCTTTCTTCCTCTCTGTAAAGGAAAAAAAAAAAAAAAAAAAAAAAAAAAAAATATATATATATATATATATATATATATATATATATATATATAAAGTCTTTGTAGTCCAGAACCTACAGTGTAGGTGCAAAGTAGGTCCTGAACAAATGTTTATTGAATAACTGAATGAATGTGCAGCCACACCTCTCCCTGTTCTCCTATTTGCTCCACTTTTCTCTTTGCTTATGCTCTTTTCCACACCCAGAATCCCCCCTTTCCTCATTATCACCTGAATAAATCCTGCTCATAATCTGAGCACCAACAGTCTGCTAATTCCTGTAGACAAATATGATTTCTCCTCTTCAAGTTCCAGAGAACTTCCCTGGTCTGTACCTGTACGGACCTTATCTCTCTGTCTTGTAGAGCAGATGTGTGCTTGTCCTAGCCCACATGCAGGTCCTCCGTCAGGGCCTATATGTCAGTCAGACAGGTCCCAAGAGACAGAGTAAGACTCAGGTTCCCCTGAGTTAGTGGGGACTTTCGGGAAGCATTGAGACCAAATGAGGACTAACCTCCGGGCTGGTGCTCTGCCAGGTCTCTGGAGCTCTGGAATACCCTTTAGGATCTTAGGCAAGTCTGGTTCTGCGAGCTCATTCCCTTGTGGGCAGAAGGCACTCCTTGTTCTTGCCCTTGTGTCTACCATGATGGTGACTCAACCACTTCCTGACTATTCTTCATGACCTCATGGACCTGTTTGCCCATTCCTTCCTTTTACCATATTTATAGTTCTAATGTGCCAGGCATTGTTCTAGAAATCCAGGATACATCAGTGTTCCTGCTCTCACAAAGCTTATATTTGAGCTTATATTTGGCCTCATTTTATCTGCTTGCTCATGATGTCTGCTTATTCAAATCTGCTTATGAGGGATTTTGGCTTTGGCCCCTATCAACAACCACTTGCCCCCAGAGACAGGATATGTTAGTTCAGTTGGTAAGTCAGTAGGCAGACTGTTCTTTGGCCAGGCATTTATTTCTGGTCGAGTCAGCTGTGGTCAGTTTTTTATACCAGGGGATGTGGGTGTGGAAGATCCTTGGAATTTAGTAGACTCTCCAGTCAACTCTCAGTGCTCTGTGCCCATGTATAGTCAGGAAAATAGGCACAGTCCTACCTCCAGCTCCTCCTGGTGCTGGTGTGCAGAAAATATTTTCTCATCTGAACCCACCTGTCAACAGGCTTCTCTTGTGGTTTCTTTAGATAGCAGATGAATATCTTATCCCGGAATCTATGGATCTAGAGTGTGTGAAGTACTGTGTGGTGTATGATAGCAATACCAGCTGCCTGAACCTAATCCTAAAAGATGACAGTCACAAGTCTGGCAGTAGTAGAAATGGTAGGTTTTACACTAGTCATAAGAATAAGTTAAGGAACATTTGTAATAATATGAACAATAAAGATTTATTTAAAAAAAGAAAGAAGAAAGAATAAGTTAACATTATTGAATACTTTTGACACATGCCAGGAACCATGTCAGGAGTTCTCCCTGGGTCAACTCATGCAGTCTGCAGTACATCCCTATGAGGATAGTAATATGACGAACTGGGAAGAGCTCTGAACCTGCCACCGTTTCAGAGATGCTGGCTGAAGATATGAGGCTCCTGGGTCAAAGACAAAGTCAGAGTAATAGAAGTATCTAGAATGTCTTCATTTTCCTGCACTGGTGCCCACGTCCCAGTTCTCACAGGGTGACATGAAGACAGCCAAATACACTTATTCATGTAGTGCATTGTATTTTAGAAGAACTCTGAGCTTAGGAGGCCTGAATTTTTTATAATGGGCAGAAGCCTACCTACCCATCATTGGCTCTGGAGGAAAACAGTCTATCTCCTAAAGCTATTGGTTATATAAATATCCTTGAGAAGCCACTACCTTGTTTAAAGGACATGTCAAGATGTGAGAGACCATGGATAATTGTTTCCTAATAGGTAACATCCCCATTTTATTGATGGGGAAATTAGGGCTCTGAAAGGCAAGGTAACTTGCCCAAGATCTCACACCTAGAGGGTTATCTATTGCCACAAAGCAAACTATCTCCAGACTCAGTAGCTTGATATAACTAAATCAATTATCTCATAGTTTCTGTGGGTCCAGAATTCAGGAGCAGCTTAGCTGGCAGGTTCTAATACAGTGTCTGTCCTGAGGTTGTAGTCAAGATGTCAGCCAAGGTTGCTGTCGTTGGAAGGTCTGACTAGGCCAGGATAATATCCATCTGAGATGACTCTCTCACATGACTATAGCTAATCATCTGAGAGTAATTCTGGCTGTTGATTGGAGACTTTAGTTCCTCACCCCATATACCTCCCCATAGGACTGCTTGCATGGCTTCGTGACATGGCAGCTGGTAAACTCCCCCACCCCCACCCCATTCCCAGAGTGAGTGATCAGAGAGAGAAAGGGAAAGCCACATGCCTTTTATGACCGAGACTTGGGTTTATATACAGTTGCCTCCACCACATTCTGTTTATTAGAGGGAAGTCACTGAGTATAGTCTACCATCAAGGGGAAGGAAATTAGACTCAACTTTTTAAAGGGAGGCATTTGAAAGAATTTGTGGGCATTAAAAACAAAACAAAACAAAACAAAAAACACACACACCTAGTATGATTAAAACCTAGGTACTTTGGCTCTCCAGTCTTTTAAGGCCTGGGTTGTGATGTTGGAAAACAGTGCAAAGTCACTCAAGCCCTGAGCTGGAGCATCAAAGCGTGATTGGTTCTAATGTGCTTTGCTGAATGCAGAGCAATCTCCATTCAGCCATTGCTTTGGGCTGACCACCTCTGGCCATTGACATGGGGCTCTGCTGTTTGTGGCTCAGTCACTAATATGTGTAAGTGGGTGTATGAGCTGGGGCATTCACACAAATGGTCACTGGGTGGCACTAGGTTTCCACTTTTAATAAAGCCAGTCTTCCCAGGAGGTCCTTAGCTAGAAAATTATCTTTCCCAAACTCATAGTCTGCGGTACATTCCTATGAGGGTGGGTCTGGTCTGCTAATCCTGGGATTGTAGGCTGGACCCTGAAACCCTAGGGCACAGTAACCAATAAAAATAACCCTCCCTACATTCTATATCTGACCTCACTGTGCTGTGCAGCCCCTGTTCTCACTGAGTAGGTAGCTACAATCACCGGAATCGAACCTGGGACTTTCCAATCCGCAGGCTGATGCTCTATCCACTGAGCCAAACTAGATTCGGCAATAAAAATTTATTTTTAAAAAACAAAATCACATTGAGATAACACTTCACAACCACTAGGCTGGCTATAATAAAAAGGACAATTGTTGCCGAAACCGGTTTGGCTCAATGAATAGAGCGTCGGCCTGCGGGCTGAAAGGTCCCAGATTTGATTCCGGTCAAGGGCATGTATCTTGGTTGCGGGCACATCCCCAGTAGGGGTTGTGCAAGAGGCAGTTAATTGATGTTTCTCTCTCATATATGTTTCTAACTCTCTATCCTATCTCTTCCTCTCTGTAAAAAATCAATAAAATATATTTTTAAAAAAAGACAATTGTTGACGAGGATGTAGAAAAATTTCAACACTCATACACTGCTGGTTGGAATGTAAAATGTTGCAGTCGCTGTATAAAGTTTGGCACTTTCCTCAAAAGTTAGGTGTAGAGCCGAAACCGGTTTGGCTCAGTGGATAGAGCGTTGGTCTGCGGACTCAAGGGTCCCAGGTTCGATTCCGGTCACGGGCATGTACATTGGTTGCGGGCACATCCCCGGTAGGGGGTGTGCAGGAGGCAGCTGGTCAATGTATGTATCTCTCTCATCGATGTTTCTAGCTCTCTATCCTTCTCCCTTCCTCTCTGTGAAAAAATCAATAAAATATATATTTTTTTTAAAAAGTTAGGTGTAGGGTTATTACATGGTCCAGCAATTTCACTCCTAGATTTGTACCCAAGAGAAATGAAAACATGTGCACACAAAAACTTGTACATGAATGTTCATAGCAGCCTTATTTCTAATTGCCAAAAAGTGGAAACAACCTAAACACCCACCAATATTTATTTAAGAATGGATAATGAATAATATTTTGTGTGGTAGTACCACACAATATAATAGTATTCAGCTGTAAAAAGAAATGAAGTGCTGACATGTGCTGCAACATAGATGAACTATGAAAACATTATGCCAAGTGAAAGAAGTCAGACATAATGCATGATTTCACTTATATGAAATGTCCAGAATAGGTAAACCAATAGAGAAGTTAGATTAGCAGTTGTCTAGAGCTGAGTCTTTGGAAGGAATGAGGAGTGAACCCCTTTAACTGGTACAGGGTTTCTTGGGTGATGGAAATGTTTAAAATTGTGGTGATAATTCTACAGTTCTATGACTAAACTAAAAACCATTGAATTGTACACTAGCTATACCATGTACAAATAGGTGATTTGTATGGTACACAAAATACAGCATACAATATATGATACTATATATATTTATAGAAAAAGATTACCTTTCTTGGTGGTAAGTTGCTTTCACATTTTATTTTATTTTAAAAATATATATTTTATTGATTTTTGACAGAGAGGAAGGGAGAGAGATAGAGAGCTAGAAACATCGATGAGAGCGAAACATCGACCAGCTGCCTCTTGCACACCCCCTACTGGGGATGTGCCCGCAACCAATGTACATGCCCTTGACCGGAATCGAACCTGGGATCTTTCAGTCCACAGGTTGACGCTCTATCCACTGAGCCAAACCGGTTTCGGCTGCTTTCACATTTTAATTGTAATACCCATTTCTATATTTGCTTCAGCCTTCTAGATAATTGCTTTTTAGAATAAAGTGGCCATTTGTTGAAGCTTTAGACAAATGGGCAACACGCAGGAGACATTCATTTCTTTGGTCTCCACTCTTAGATCTGTTTGCTGGAGGAGCTGCCATTGAATGTGGCAAAGCCATAGCCCATCTCACCCGCTACCCTGTTAAGATCCTGAGAGGAGGCTATGAGTCCTTCTCAGCCAAGTACCACTTCTTCCGGACGCAGAAGATCATCTGGATGCCACAGGTAAGGCAGGGTGCTGAGCACAGGCAGGCTCAGATGGGAGCATGGCCTTCCCTGAGGACCATGGTTTGGGGAACAGGGTAAGAGAAAGAGACAGACAACATAGAAAAGATGGAAGAAATATTGAAGGCTGGGCTTAAGAAATGAACTTGGGGTAGCCAGGAAGTCCAGTCCAAGATTATGAATTTATAATTGTCACATTTGGGGAAGAGCCAACATGGAGTTTAAAAGATGGGGCCTATTCAGAAGGCAGGGGAATTCTGGATTGTGGGTTGTAGTCAAAGTCAGAAAGGCAGGGATAGGTGTCATGGTTCAAGCTGCCTCAACTTTCTTAACTTTTGGGCCCAGAGAATACAAAAGGGTGAGAAAGCAGTCCCTGCCTTTGATAAGTTCTTACCTAGTGGGGGAGACAGTGTATAGGGCCCAGAGGAGAGGCAGCCAAATCTGGAGGAGGAGGAGCTCATGAGGAAGTGGGGTGAGGGCAAATAGAGCAAGCATCGAACAGCCATGATCGGCAGGCAGGAACCTATCTGGGGCTCTGTGCAGTATCTGGTTTATTAAGGAGTCTGACTGCAGTGGAATGCAAACATCTCAGGCTTTCATTCTTTTCAGTAATTGCCTTTAGCTGTGCTCTTATTTTTGCCCTTAGTAACATCTTGGGGAGATTCCATACTTTCTGGCCACTTTCAATTATGAAAAATTACATTTAGCCATAAAATGATTTGAGAAATGTGTATATTAACTGGGTATTTGATGACAGTAAGAAATAATTATTATACAGGGTAGGACAAAAGTAGTTTTACAAGATGCAAATCAAAACAACAATGAGGTACCACCTCACACCTGTCAGAATTGCTATCATTAACAAATCAACAAATGACAAGTGCTAGAGAGGATGCAGAGAAAAAGGAACCCTCCACTGTTGGTGGGAATGCAGACCAGTGCAGCCACTGTGGAAAACAGTATAGCGTTTCCTCAAAAATTTAAAAATGGAACTGCCATTTGACCCATTAATACCACTTTTAGGAACATATCCTAAGAAAACAGAAATACCAAATAAAAAGAATATATGCATCCATATGTTCATAGCAGCACAATTTACAATAGCTAAGATTTGGAAACATCCTAAATGCCCATCAGCAGATGTGTGGATTAGAAAACTATGGTACATCTATACAATGGAATACTACGCTGCTATAAAAAAGAAGGCATTCTTACCATTTGCAGCAGCATGGATGGAACTAGAGAGAATTATGTTAACTGAAATAAGCCAGTCAGTGAAATAAAAATACCATATTATCTCACTCATTTATGGATAATAAAATAACCTGATGAACAAAAAGATAGATACAGAGGCAGAGAAACCTTGAATAGACATCAAATTACACCAGGAAGCCTGGGGGGAGAGGGGATGGTTGGTAAGAGATCAACTGAAGGACTTGTATGCATGCATATAAGCATAATCATTGGATGCAAGACACTGGGGTGGGGGTAATGGGGCGAGGGCATGTGCAGGGGTGTAGGAGAAGCTGGGGGAAGGTCAATGGGGGGAAAAAGAAGACATATGTACTATTATTTGTAATATTTTAAACAATAATAAAAAAGGAAAAAAAACCCCAGTAAATACAAGCCAAATTGCACAAACCAGGGGAAAAAAGGTTTACAGTTACTTGTATGGAAAATAATACTATCCTATCTAATAAAGAGGGAATATGCTAATTGACCCTTACACTGTCACAAAGATGGTGGTGCCCGCAGCCAATAAGGCAGGAATATGCGAATTGACGGTCACACCCTCAAAAGATGGTGGTGCCCACAGCCACAAGATGGTGGCGCCCAGCCCCCTCAGCCTTGCCTGGCTGCCTGCCTCTAAGAGTCCCCCATTTCCCTCAGCCACCCAGCTGCCCAGGGCCAGTCTGAGGTGCAGGCAAGCCTCAGATGGTGGCTGCCCAGCTGACCAGGGCCACTGGAGGTTCAAGGTTCAAGGCTGGCTGAGGCTTGCACTGCTGACAGTGGCAGCAGCAGAGGTGTGATGGGGCGTCGCCTTCCCCTGATTGCTGGGTCACCTCCTGCCCCTGAGGGCTCCTGGACCGTGAGAGGGGACAGGTCGGGATGAGGGACACCCCCTCGAATGCATGAATTTTCATGCACTGGGCCTCTAGTAATTAATAAATAATAATAATACAAGAATAAACTCTTGTTTTGTATACTTACAACTGTAAACTTTTGCTCCACCCTATATTTCTTTAGGTTGTGATGACATGATTATGGTTATATTTTTTAAAATATAAGTTGGTATCTTTTAGACATAATGAAATAGCCAAGACCGGTTTGGCTCAATGGTTAGAGCGTTGGCTTGGGGACTGAAGGGTCCCGGGTTTGATTCCGGTCAAGGGCATGTACCTTGGTTGCGGGCATATCCCCAGTAGGGGGTGTGCAAGAGGCAGCTGATCGATGACTCTCTCATCGATATTTCTAACTCTCTATCTCCCTTCCTCTCTGTACAAAATCAATAAAATATATTTGCCAAAACAGGTTTGGCTCAATGGATAGAGCGTCGGCTTAGGGACGGAAAGGTCCCGGGTTCGATTCCGGTCAAGGGCATGTACCTTGGTTGCGGGCATATCCCCAGTAGGGGGTGTGCAAGAGGCAGCTGATCGATGACTCTCATCGATGTTTCTAACTCTGTATCTCTCTCCCTTCCTCTCTGTACAAAAATCAATAAAGAAATACATTTAGACATAATGAAATATTTATGGGTAAAAGAATATGATATCTGGGATTTCCTGCAAAATAATCTAGGATTGGTTGGAAGTCAGTATAGATGAAACAAAATTGGCCATTAGTTGATAATGTTTGCAGAGTGGTGATAGATCTTGGAGATTATTATACTGTTCTTTCTACTTCTGTGTATTTTTGAAATAATTTTTTAAAGGGAATAAGGGCAATCAGTCTAGTACAAGCTAGGCTGGTTTAACATTCCAATCTCAAACCAAATCTTATCTCTTCCCATTCCCAGAACTGGGCAGCCTTGGGTTTGCTGTGGGCTTATAGTGGGGTTGGCTTCAAGGACATCTCTCTTCCAGCCTTCGGGGCCTGGCCCCGTTGGTATTGAGGATCCAGTGTGTGACTGATTGCTGTCGGTGGAGGGGAGGTGCCTTCTTCTCACTCTGACTTCACCTAGTTCTGTGTGTTGCTGGTGGCATTTGTTGCTGGTTTCCTTGGAGCTTTGTTGGGGACAGGGACTGTTTATTATTGAAGATCCCTCAGAGAGAGAGAGAGAGCCAGATTTTAAGCCAGAAATACCCTTAATTTCCAACCTTTTCCTTCCTTTGGTAGCTCATGACCCCCCACTGCATCCATCCGTACTCCTTCACCCGAATTCCCGAATGAGCCACAAAGGACTGTGATCACTACAGCCTCTCCTTGGCTTGCTGACTTGGCAGTTCCAACCAGCCTGTGCAAAAAGTTGGGACCCATGTCTGAGATCATACCTGTTCCCAAATCTAGCTTTCCAAAGGAATATCTTCTGCACTTTCATGAAGGTAACCACACTATGATTTTCAGCTCAACAGGTGTATAGCCAATCTCCCCATCCTACAGACACTCCTCCTCACTACTAGAGGAGCACTGCTTACTGACTTTGCAGTGTTCAAAGGCAATATTTCTCTACAAACATGACACTGCTGATAACTAATTGCCCCTCCCCTTTTAAAGTTTTATTAAGGTATAATTGACATCAGAATAACTGCACATGTTTAAAATGTACAATGTGGTGAGTTTTGATATGTATGTACATCTGTGACCTGCCTTATATAGATTGGGAAGAGGGGTGGGGTGGTAGCTGATGGTAGCTATCAGGGCCTGGTATAGAGTTCTACCCTAATGTGGTCTAGAATGCAGGTGCCTACTACTTGTCTCTTCTTGCTCATTACTAATTCAGGAGCAAGAGTGAAAGCCCCACCCACTTCCTGCTATTGTCCTGATACACTGTAAAGCAGGGGTGTCCTTTTTTTTTTTTTCCTTTAAGAATCTCATTTCTTCCAATAGGAAATTCTTTTTTTTTTTTTTTAAATATATTTTATTGATATTTTACAGAGAGGAAGGGAGAAGGATAGAGAGTTAGAAACATCGATGTGAGAGAAACATTGATCAGCTGCCTCCTGCACATCCCCCACTGGGGATGTGCCCGCAACCAAGGTACATGCCCTTGACTGGAATCGAACCTGGGACCTTTCAGTCCACAGGCCAACGCTCTACCCACCGAGCCAAACCGGTTTCGGCAGCAGGGGTGTCCTTAACTGTTCCCAAGGAACTCCTTCTATGAATGGAGATGGAGACACCAAATTTAGGCTCTGAGACTGCCCCTCTACCTTAGACAGAGTGACCTATAATTTCCTATTTTACATTTAGTGTCCCTTACATAAGATTTCACCTTGAGTAAAGGAGTTCTGTGACTAAAAGGAATGTGCAGGCCACACTAGAGAGATGATGGTAAGCTACTGAATGTTTTACATTGAGGGGTGGCGTGGTCAGACTGTACTTAGATCAACTCTGATTGCAGAGCAGAGAGCATATCAGTGGGAACAGAGTAGATTTGGAGAGACTTGCTAAGAGGTAGGGATGAAGAGTAGAGAATAGATTCAAGAAATACTTAAGAAGTGGCATTGATTAATTTGGAGTCGGGTGTGGGGGTGGGGGTGGGGGACCCAGCTGGCATGGCTCAGTGGTTGAGGGTAGACCTATGAACCAGGAGGTCACAGTTTGATTCCTAGGTTGTGGGCTCGATCCCCAGTGGGAGCCTTGCAGGGAGCAGTCATTCAATGATTATCTCTCATCATTGATGTTTCTTTCCCTCCCTTTCCCTTTCTCTCTGAAATCAATATATATTTTTAAAAATATGGAGGGGGGCAATGGGAGAGGAGGAGGAGGAGGAGGAGATTAGTGTGGGTGATTTAGGTGTGGGTGACAGGGGTCTGTGGTGTGGCTCATTGAGGTGGCGGACACAGGAGAAGGAGGCAGTGTGGGAGGAAAGCAGTGGGCTCAGTTTGGACATGTTAATTTTTTTTTAAACATATTTTATTGATTTTCCACAGAGAGGAAGGGAGAAGGATAGAGAGCTAGAAACATCGATGAGAGAGAAACATCGACCAGCTGCTTCCTGCACACCCCCATCGGGGATATGCCTGCAACCAATGTACATGCCCTGGACCGGAATCAAACCTGGGACCTTTCAGTCCGCAGGCCGATGCTCTATCCACTGAGCCACACCGGTTTCGGCTGGACATGTTAATTTGATGCCTGCTTATTTTATTTTAAATATATATATTTTTATTGATTTTTAGAGAACGAGGAAGGGAGAGGTAGAGAGAGGGAGAGACATGTATTGGCTGCCTCCTGCCTGTCCCCTACTGGGGATTGAACCCACAACTTGGGCATGTGCCCTGATCAGGCATCAACCAGTAACCTCTCCATGCACGGGATGGTGCTCAACCAAGTGAGCCACACCAGCAAGGGTAGATATCTGCTTGTTTTGCATTTGTTGATGTGGCTATCAAAATTAAGTCATTTAGAATTAACATGTGCTTGCTCTTTGCAGCACAGAATGTTTTTATCCATGTCACACCCTCTTCCCCTGCAGCCTGCACAGGCACAGGAAAGGAAGGAAGCTGGTTTGAAAGCAGCAGAAAGAGAGTTAATAGATTTGTGATAGGTGTTTAGTGAGGTTTTCTAAATGGAACTAGGATTTCATTTGGCTCCAGCAAGCTGAACATCCTGAGTGAGGGAGGTCAGCCTGAGCCCTGGGGATGCTTTGGGTCAACATCTGCAAATAGCCGGTCTCCCTGCAGGTAAAAGGGTCATGAATCTCTTTTGTAAACTTGAGAATTTGCTCTGTTCTTTGATAGAATGTTTTGAGGCTGTCAGCGTGGGAAGGATGTGGGCTCACAGTGGGTACACTGGGAGAGGAGATGTGCTGATGCTAGAAGGCTTTGAAATGGACAGTGAAGTAGTCTCAGGTACTTAAGATGCTATTTTTGAGTCAGACTCAGAGCCAGAGGAATTTTTAGAACTGGGATTGACCTTTGAAGTTACATAGGTCAACATTTTCCATGAATACTGATGGAAAAAATATGACTTAACAAGATATTAGAAATGTCAGTTTACACAATGTTAGTGGAATTATTTTTTTCTTTTTTTGAGGTTTTGCCTAGGTTTTATTTTACTAAATATCACAAATACATTTTCAGTTCATGCCAGCAATAACTGTGTAGCCAGTGTTTTATTATAAACATCTGAGCTACAAAAGCTCAGTCCAAGGAACCATTAGGAAAATTTTCACCAGCTTTCTGTTCCCTGGAGGCACACTTTGAAAAGCATGTCTTAGAACAGTGGTCGGCAAACTAACTAGTCGACAGAGCCAAATATCAACAGTACAAGGATTGAAATTTCTTTTGAGAGCCAAATTTTTAAAACTAAACTTCTTCTAACGCCACTTCTTTAAAATGGACTCACCCAGGCCATGGTATTTTGTGGAAGAGACACACTCAAGGGGCCAAAGAACCACATGTGTCTTGCGAGCCACAGCTTGCCAACCAAGGTCTTAGACTGATGTGTTTTTCTGGCTGTTTTCCAACTTGTTTATAAAATTAGTTTTATTATTTAGTGATGATTTTTTTTCTAACCACGTAATTGGCGCTGTAATGATCTTTCCTTGTAACAATCATATTTTCAATCCTCCAAACTTTATTGATGTGTAGTAGATATATAACATTGTATAAGTTTAAGGTATACAACTTGATAATTTATATATGGATACCAGAGTTCCAGTACATAAAATTCGTGCAAGGGAGGGGGGGGCAGTGTCCCCTCAAACCAGCCTGCAACCTCTCCAATCTGGGACATCCCTCTCAAAATCTGGGACCACTGGCTGCTAACTGCTCACTTGCCTGCCGGCCTGCCTGATCGCCCCCAACTGCCCCTCCCACTGGCCTGGTCCCCCTTACTGCCCCCCCCCAGCCTGGTCACCCCCAACTGTCCCCCCTGCGGGCCTGGTCTCCCCATGTAACCTGTTGTTTAGTCGTTTGGTTGTCCCTCACTAACCCCCCTGCCAGCCTGGTTGCCCCACGCAGCCTGTTTGGTCGTCCATTTGGTTGCAATGGTCACTTAGGCTTTTATTATTATGGAATTATTACCATGATAAGGTTAACACATCCATTACCTTACAAAATCACCATTTTTTATATGTGTGGTGAAAACATTTAAAAATCTACTTTCTTAGCAATTTTCAAGTATGTAATGCAGTATATTACAACTTCAGGAGTTATTTGCCTTATATCTGGAAGTTTGTACCTTTTCATCAACATCTGTTTCTATGAGTTTTGCAGATGTTCACATATAAGTGAGATGATTTATCTTTTTCTGACATTTCACTTAGCATAATGCTCTCAAGACCCATCAATGTTATTGCATATTATTAGGAATTCCTTCTTTTTTATGACTGAATAATATTCAATTGTATATATGTGCCACATTTTCCTTATCCACTTACCCATTGATGGACACTTAGGTTGTTTCCATGTTGTAAAACATGGCTATTATAAATAACTAGAGGCTCGTTGTACAAAGAGATTCATGCAATAGGCCTTCCTTCCCTTGGCTTCCAGCACCGGTTTTCCTCCGGCACCTGGGACCTAGACCTTTGCTCCAGCCAAGTCTGCCTTCTTTGGCTTTGCTGCAGACTCCAGCTGGAGTCAGCCATCTTCATCTTCACTGCAGGCTTATCTTCACTGCAGCACTCTGTTCCTGTAGAACCCTTCCCTCCCCCCTCACCCCACCCACACCCTCCCTTGCATAGCAGGTGTCCTGCCCCACCTGGCCACTCTATGCCTGGAGTAGCTGGGCGGTCACCATCTTTGGCCTTCTAGTTTGCATACTCACTCTGATTGGCTGTGGGTGTAGTGGAGGTATGGTCAATTTACATGTTTGTCTATTAGGTAAGAAGCTCAAGTGAGCATCTGGGTGCAGATATCTCTTTGAGGTAGTTATTTTGTTTCCTTTGAATATATACTCAGAAGTGGGATTAGTGGATCATAGGGTAGTTCCATTATAGTTTTTTAGGAACCTCCATACTATTATATTTCCCATAGTGGCTGGAGTTAATGGATTTTTTTACTGCCAGACTTATTTGAGCCTTTAATTGCTAATGTATATGGTGAGTTTCTTAGAGAGGAATATGCTTTCCATATGTACTTGGTTCTCTGAACTCTTTCTTCACAGTGCACTGTGAGGTACCGTGTTTCTTACACTTTGGGGAACGTAGAAATAATCCTTTTCTTGGTTTCTTTGTCTTTCAAAGAAACCAAATTTTTCTTATGATGACTTTAGACCTGGAATTCAGTAAGCTTCCATTTAAATGATGGCCTATTCTTTCTATCTCTCTGTCAAAACTCATCAGAATTCATTTCCTAATGACAGATAAGCTCTGGTAAAGTGGGGGTTTTTTTGTTTGTTTGTTTTTTGTTTTTTAAGTATTTCAGTTCTGGTGGACTCTGAGTATAATAAAAGGGCTGTTCTTTCCAGCCATAGTGGTTCAGTGGTTGAGTATCTACTCATGGACAAGGAGGTCACAGTTCAATTCCTGGTCAGGGCACATGCCTGGGTTGCATGCTTGATCTTAATAGGAGGCATGCAGAAGGTAGCCAATCGATGATTCTCATCATTGATGTTTCTATCTCTCTCTTCTCTTCAAATCAATAAAAACATATATTTTTTTAAATGGCTTTTTTTTTAATGCAGTTGTTGGCCACAGAGTATTAGACTCCACAGCCAAATGCAAACATGTGCCAAGGAAGGAAGATAGATGATGGTATTCATATCAGCATGCTTTAGCATGATGCTATGCTATAGCTCAGTCCTTCTGTACTACCAGCCCTGTACCTCCTCATGCAAATTGTTACTTGTCAATCTTTATGAATACCCAGATCTCAATTTCATTCATTGTCCTGGATAATTTTTCTAAGCTTATTTGCTGACCCACATTTTAAGAAACCAATACCTCCAACTCCAAATGAAAACAACTTCCCTGGGGAATGTTTATATAGTAACATCTCTCCTTCCCCACCCCAGGAATTGGATGAATTTCAGGCATATCCTGTTGAAATAGTGCCAGGAAGGATCTACCTGGGTGATTTCAGGCAAGCCTGTGATCCTAAAATTCAGAAGGATTTGAAAATCAAAGCACATGTCAATGTCTCTATGGAGACAGGACCATTGTAAGTAGCAATACTATTGATTTTTAAAATATTAAGTATCATTTGTTTATATAAGATTCCTGGTGACATGCATTTAGAAAGTAAAAAGGTCTCTTAGAAGACAGCATATACTGGAATAGGGTTTTCACTTTTTTAACTTCATCTGTTCCTAGCCTATAGTCTTGTTTCCTGGCTTGGCTGTGGCATCCTTTGCCCCTAACCGAGACCTCATACTTCCTTCAAAACTCACCAAAAATAAAACTTTCCTGATTTTTAACATTGTGGTCAAAGTATCCTAATCTACCCTGCTACATATGAGACATAAACCCTATCTTAGTTCATTCAGGCTGCTAAACAGAATACCATTGACTGATGGTTTATAAAACACAGAAATTTATTTTCATGGTGTGGAGGCTGGGATATCCAAGATCAATATAGCAGGGATTTGCTGTCTAGTGAGAGCCTGCTTTCTGGTTCATAGACAGCCATATTTCCACTGTATCCTCACATGGTAGAAGGGGCAGGGAACTCTCTGGGGCCTCCCATTCATAGGGCTTCAAGCTCAGGGTCAGATTTACAACAACAACAAATAAACAAACAAAACATCTAAAACAATGGTTTTCAGACAGTGGTTAATAGCACATGACAGTGATTCCAGAATGAATGAAAAAAAAAAATGAGCTTCACAATCAGTTTAGCTTATTTCTTAGAGATTGCTAGAGCCCACAATTAACTTAGCTTATTTCTTGGAGATTATTTGAAGGGGACCAAAACAGATTTTCTCATTCTTTTTCTTTCTTTTTTTGTTGTTATTCTTCACCCAAGGATATTTTTCCAGTGGTTTTTAGAGAGAGAGGAAGAGAGAGGTTAAGACAGAGAGAGAAACATTGATATGAAAGAAATACATTGGTTGGTTGCCTCTGAGCAGGGTCCAGACCAGGGAGGAACCTGCAACCAAGGTACATGTGACTGGAATTGAACCCAGAACCCTTTGGTCCACAGGCTTATGCTCTATCCACTGAGCCAGATAGGACTCATTCTTTTTATTTTTTGTTAATTCTCCCATTTTTCCATTGATTTTTATTCTTTTTTTATTTTTTATAATATAGTTTTTTATTGATTTCAGAGAGGAAGGGAGAGGGAAATAGAAATATCAATGATGAGAGAGAATCATTGATCGCTTACCTCTGCATACCCCCTACTGGGGACTGAGCATGCCACCCAGCTGTGCCCTTGACTGGAATCAAACCGAGACTCTTCAGTCCACAGGCTGATGCTCTATCCACTGAGCCAAACCAGCTAGGGATCCATTGATTTTTACAGAGAGTGGGAAGACAAGAGGGAGAGATACATCTATTGTGAGAAAGACACGTTGGTTGCCTCCCGCGCATGTCCTGATGAAGGCGGGGATCAAACCTGTAATCCATGAACATGACCAAGAATTGTGAACCTTTGACCCTTTGATGTCATTTTTTTTTGAATTGAGGGTATAAAGTCAATAATCCAGAAAGGTCAAGTTGACTAGAACTCTCAAAAGAGAGCTGCATGGTAAACAGAAGGCTGAATACAAAGAAAGGGCTCTGGACATCTGCAGAGAACCCTTTGTGTCTTCAGCTGAGTACATAAAGCACATGCATGTGAGGAAATGACTCAAGGCTTGGAGAAAAAACAGTGTAAATTAATAGACAGTACAATCCTCAGAGATTATGTGGGGTCAGGAGTCATTCGTATTTTAAGTCAGAGTAGACAAAACTCATAATATACAAGGCATCAAATTTGTGTATGGTAGGGTCCCTAGGCCCTGATTACAGGTCAGGCCCAGGGACCCTACCCTACATAAATTTTATGCACCAGCCCTCTATCTACACTAATAAAAAAGAAAGATGCAAATTGACCATACCTTCACGATGCCCACCAGCCAATCAGGAGTGAGTATACAAATTATCCCAACAAATATGGCAGATTAATTTGCATGCAGGCTCTGAGTGCCTGAGGAGGGGCAGGCCGGGACACATGGGTCATTGCCATGGCAACAATGCAGGCATTCCACACTGCTCCAGCAGCTCCGGGCCTCTGGGCATCATGGGAAGGTGGAAAGGTGGCTCCAGGCTGAAGCAAAAAGGCAGTTCCAGCTGGAGAAGAAGGCGGTGGCAACAGCCAGGGGAAGGAAGACCCATTCTTGCACCAATCTTCATGCATCAAGCCTCTAGTAATTATATAAAATACTTTCACCTTGTTTGTAAATATTTTCAAGGCATATTATTTAAAGACAAAATAGCAACAATACATTTTGTGTTTATAGCATATGTAGAAGTGATATATATATATATATATATATATATATATATATATATATATGCACAATTTACTAAGGCAGGAAGAGGGAAAATAGAACTATATACCTGTAAGATTCTTACTCTGTTTATATGAAGTGGTATAATGTTAATTGAAGGTAGATTATAGTAAGTTAAAGATGTATTCTATACACTCTAAAGCAATCACCAAAAAATAGAACAAAACAAAAATAAGAGATATGATTAGTAAGATAACAAAAGAGATAAAGGGAGTCATATAAAAATTCAGTAATCATGCTCAGTGCAAATGGTCTAAATATTTCAATTAAAAGGCAGAGGTTCTCAAAACCGGTTTGGCTCAGTGGATAGATCGTTAGCCTGCGGACTGAAAGGTCCCGGGTTTGATTCCGGTCAAGGGCATATACCTTGGTTGCGGGCACATCCCCAGTAGGGGCTGTGTAAGAGGCAGCTGATCAATGATTTTCTCTCATCGATGTTTCTAACTCTCTATCTCTCTCCCTTCCTCTCTGTACAATATCAATAAAATATATTAAAAAAAAGAAAAGAAAAGAAAAAAGAAGGCAGAGGTTGTAGGCTGTCTACAATATACTTTAGCCCTGGTTGGGTTAGCTCAGTGGATAGAGCATTGGCCTATGGACTGAAGGGTTCTGGATTGGATTCTGGTCAAGGGCACATACCTAAGTTGCTTGATCCCTGGGCCTGGTTGGGGCACATGCAGGAGACAACCAATCAATATGTCTCTCTCATATTGATGTTTCTCTCAGTTTCTGCCCTTCCCTTCCATTCTCTCTTTAAAAAGTCAATAGAAAGAAAAAATAATCCAAAAATGTGAAGATAGTGTAAGAAGCCTCTGGAACAATTTCAATGTAACCAAAATCCATAATTATGGGGGTCCCAGAAGAGGAGAGAGAGCAAGGTATAGAAAACCTATTTGAAACTGAAACCGGTTTGGCTCAGTGGATAGAGCATCAGCGTTCAGACTGAAAGGTCCCGGGTTCGATTCCGGTCAAGGGCATGTACCTTGGTTGCAGGCATATCCCCAGTAGGGGTGGTGCAAGAGGCAGCTGATCGATGACTCTCTCTCATCGATGTTTCTAACTCTCTATCCCTCTTTCTTCCTCTCTGTACAAAAATCAATAAAATATATATATTTTAAAAATCAATAAAATATATTTTTAAAAAAATAAGAAAACCTATTTGAAGAAATAATGACAGAAAACTTCCCCTACCTGGTGAAAGAAATAGATTTACAAGTCTAGGAAGCACAGAGAATCCCTAACAAAAGGAATCCAAAGAGGACCACACCAAGACACATCATAATTAAAATTCCAAGAGCAAAAGACAAAGAGAGATTATTAAAAGCAGGAAGAGAAAAACAGTAATTATCTCACGGGAGCACCAATATGATTGTCAGGTGATTTCTCAACAGAAACTATGCAGGCCAGATGGGAATGGCAAGAAATATTAAAAGTGATGAATAGCAAGAACCTACAACCAAGATTACTTTATCAGCAAAGCTATCATTTAGAATTGAAGGTCAGATAAATTGCTTCACAGATAAGAAAAAGCTAAAGGAGTTCATCAACACCAAACCAGTATTATATGAAATACTGAAAGGTATTCTTTAAGAAGAGGAAGAAGAAGAAAAAGGTAAAGATAAAAATTAAGAACAAATACATGTGTATCCACAAGTGAATCTAGCAGCACAATTAACAATAGCTAGGATTTGGAAACAGCCTAGGTGCCCATCAGCAGATGATTGGATCCAAAAACCATGGTACATCTACACAATGGAATATTATGCTGCCATAAAAAAGAAGGAATTCTGGGGGAGATAATAGATCAACCGAAGGACTTGTATACATGCATATAAGTACAACCAATGGACACAAAACTCTGGGGAGGGAAGGTATGTACAGGGGGGTGGGGGGCAATGTTAAAATATGTACACAGATAATAATTTAATAAAAAAATAACTCTGATTTTATAACCTGACAAAGACATTATAATTTAGAAAAATTATAGACTCATTTTCTTCATGAATATAGATGTAAAAATCCGAAACAAAATCTTAGCACGTTACATACATATATATATAAAAGCCTAATATGCAAAGTGTTCCCTTGGGAGTTTGACCCACTAGGAGTTCAATCTCTCTCTATGATGTGTGCTGACCACTAGGGGGTGACACAGAATTAAGGAAGGCCTGGCTGGCAGCTGGCAGCTGGCAGCCCTGGCCTGCAGCTGCTAAGAACCCTACTTGTGCAGGAATTTCTCATGCACTGGGCCTCTAGTATCCTTATAAAAAGAAGAATGCATAATGACTAAATTGAGTTTATTCCAAAGATGTTAATTTACCATATCAATAAATAGAGCAAAAATCAGGACTATCTCAACAGGCGCAGTGAAAGCATTTGATAATATTCACTATACATTCATGATTTTAAAAAAACCTTAGAAAACTTAGAATAGCAGAAAACTTCTTTGAGCTAATAAAATAATGACAGAAATCTCTGCAACAAACATCACACTTAATGGTGAAATGTTGAAAGTTTTTCTTCTAAGTCTGGGAAGAAAACAAGAGCTACTCCTATTTACCATTGTACTGGAGGTCCTAGTTGGTGAAATATGGTAAGAAAAAGAAATAAAATATGAATCAAAAGGGAAAAACTTCTTATTCACAGATAATATAATTGTATACACAGAAAATCCAAAACAATCTGCAGCTAAATTATTAGATTTAAGTGAGGTTGCTTGGTACAAGATTAATATGCAAATATGAATTGTTTTCTGCATACAAATAAGAAATACAAACTGAAATTTTTAAAAACATAGTTTATAAGAGCACACAAATATTAAATACCTTGGATTATATTTCATGAAGAATGCGTAAGATCTCAACATAGAAAATTATATAGCATTACTGTAAATTATTAAAGTTCTGAATAAACAGAGGATGTACTGTCATTATAGATTAGAAGAATCAGTTTTGTAAAGATATTGATTCTTGCCCAAATGATCTGTCGATTCAGTGTAATGCCAATAGAATCCCAACAGGTTTGTGGAAATTCATACAGTAATCCTAAAATGTATAAATTTTATTAAATGCGAAGGGCAAAAATAGCTAAATATTTGAAGAATAACAAATGGGAAAATTTACTGAACTTGACCAAATATTAAGATTTTAAAAACACAGCAAGTAAGGATGGTGATATTGAGAGATGCAAATCAAAATAACAATGCAGTACCATCTCACATCTGTCAGAATGGCCAACATCAACAAATCAACAAACGACAAGGGTTGGCGAGGTTGCAGAGAAAAAGGAACCCTCGTGCACTGCTGGTGGGAATGTAGACTGGTGCAACCACTGTGGAGAACAGTATGGAGCTTCCTCAAAAAACTGAAAATGGAACTCCCATTTGACCCAGTAATCCCACTCCTAGGAATATATCCCAAGAAGCTAGAAACACCAATCAGAAAGGATATATGCACCCCTATGTTCATAGCAGCACAATCTACAATAGCTAGGATTTGGAAACAGCCTAGGTGCCCATCAGCAGATGATTGGATCCAAAAACCATGGTACATCTACACAATGGAATATTATGCTGCCATAAAAAAGAAGGAATTCTCATCATTTGCAGCAATCTGGATGGAATTGGAGAACATCATGCTGAGTGAAATAAGCCAGTCAATGAAAGAGAAACACCACATGACCTCACTTATTTATGGATGATAAAGAACATTATAAACTGATGAACCAAAAGATAGATATAGAGACAGTAAAGCAACAAGCAGACTGTCAAATTACAGCGGGGAGGTTAGGGAGATCTGGGGGAGATAATAGATCAACTGAAGGACTTGTATACATGCATATAAGTACAACCAATGGACACAGAACTCTGGGGAGGGAGGGCATGAATGGAAGGGGGAGGCAATGGTATATGTACAAAGATAATAATTTAATTAAAAAAAATTTTTTTTAAAAGGATGGTGATATTGGTGCAGGATAGAAAAATAAACCAGTGGAGCAGAACAGAGTTCAAACAGACCCATGCATATATAAACACTTGAGGTTTTTAAAATTTATGCATGCACCCCCACTTGGGCCAGAATTGAACTGGTGACCGTTTAATCCATGGGCGACACTCTAACCACTGAGCAAACAGGCTAGGACTGGACACTTGAATTTGGACAAGGATTTTCTTCTATATTTTTTTCTGAAGGTTTATGGATTTAACCTTTACATGTTTATATTTTGAAATAATGTTTGTGTATGGTGCCAGAAATGGAACAGTATTTGTTGTTTTCCACGTGGAGATAATCATTTGTTGAAAATATGATCCTTTTCCTGTTGAATTGCTTTGATACCTTTATTGAAAATCCTTGTCAAAATTAAAAATTCTGGATTATGTTTCATTAGTATATATCTTTCTTTCTTTCTTTTTCCCTCCCTCCCCCCTCCTTTTCCAGAGAGAAAGGGTGAGGGATAGAGAGAAGCATCAGTGATGAGAGAGAATCATTGATTGGCTGCCTCTAACACACCCCACTCTGGGGGTTGAGCCTGCAACCCAGGCATGTTCGCTGAGTGGGAATTGAACCGTGACCTCCTGGTTCATAGGTAGATGCTCAAGCACTGAGCAGGGCAGTATATGTTTTTCTTTACACCAGTTTCACACTGCTGATTACAGTAGTTTTTTAATAAATCTTGAAATCAAGTTAGTCCTCTAATTTTGTTCTTTTTCAAAGTTGTTTTGTTTGCATTTCCATATAAATTTCATAATCAGCTTGTCAGTTTCTATGAAAAAGCTAGCTAAAATTTTGATTGGGATTGAACTGACATCTTAACAGTGTTGAATCTCTTGATCCATGAGCATGGTCTATTTCTCCGTTTACTTTGCTCTTTAACTTCTCTCAGAAATATTTTATTGTTTTCAGTGTACGTTTTGTTTTGTTTTGTTTTGTTTTGTTTCGTTTTTTTGCACATTTTGTGTCAAGATTTTTTCCTAAGCATTTGAAGTTTTTTATATGATATTTTAAGATTTTCAATATCTGTTTATTTGTTGCTAGTACATATAAATCCAATTGATTTTTATATATTAACCATGTATTCTTCAACCTTCTTCATCCAGATACCATCTCCACTGTAAACTCTCCCCATTCCTCCTATCACGTATCATGTGCAGGTCTTTTAAAAATGTTTTATTGTTGACACTATTGCAAATATCCCCCATTTCATGTGCAGATCTTTATCTTAGCATCTAGCTAATTGGCGTGGTGCCTTTTGTTTATGTATCCGCCTCCCCCATCAGTTTGGAAGTTCCTTGAAGCTGGGAGGGAACCTATTTGATATTTGTGTCCAGCTTAAGGTCTGGCACACAATAGGCATTGAATGTCTATGAGGAAAGAATGGATGGGTGGGCATGGGTGGGTGTGGAGAGAGGGAAAGATGGGTGAGAAGGGAAAGATGGATGGATGAATGGATAGTTCATTGTGCTTGTATTTATCATAGCAAGTGCTCATACAGAAACTAAACCAAACCAGCCACTTTTGTTTCTGAATCTACTGAACTTTCTGCATGCCACAGTGGTCTGCATACGGAATGTCACCAATACTATAAGCACTTCATAAACAACATTATAAAGTGCTTATAGTATTCTGGGCATTGGGCTAGGCTCCCTGCAGGCACACACTCATTAAGCATGTCACTCACCCCATCTCTCCACCACATTCATAAAACTCTAGCCACTCTGACCTCCCTGTTGTTTCTCAAATACACTACTAGTAAACATACTGTCTGTCAGGGATTTTGCACTTCCATTCTCCTATACTTGGAACACTCTTTCCTCAGATAACTGACTGGCTTGTTTTCTCACCTCCTTTAAGCCTCTGTTCAAATGTCACCTCCTCAGTAAAGCCTTCCCTGACCACCTTATCTCAAATGCTATTCTCTATCCCTCTTACCTTATTTTCTTCATTTAACATAGCAGGCTCGCTGAAACTGTTTTGGCTCAGTGGATAGAGTGCCGGCCTGCGGACTGAAAGGTCCCAGGTTTGATTCTGGTCAAGGGCATGTAACTTGGTTGTGGGCACATCCCCAGTAGAGGGTGTTCAGGAGGCAGCTGATTAATGTTTCTCTCTCATTGATGTTTCTAACTCTCAATCCCTCTCCCTTCCTCTCTGTAAAAAAATTAATAAAATATATATTTTAAAAAAACATAGCAGGCTCATTCTCCAAAATCATGACATATTTCCTCCCATCCTCATTTTATTGTTTGCAGCATATTCTAGGAAAGTACCATGTTTGAATAATAATAATAATAATAATAATGTCATATTTATTGAGCATTTACTATTACAAAGCAGATTGCTAAATGCTGTATATAGATTAATTGACTTAATACATATTCCATTCCTATGAGGTAGGTGCTATTTTTCTGAGAGGAGTTCAGGTCCTTGCTCACGTTTTCCTGATCTAGCCCAGCATCCCTCCCCTATGGTCCTCCTGCTAGGACAAAGGACACTGCAGTGGGACTGTGTGTGAGTCTGCCCAATTACCTATGCTTTTCTTCTGTTTAGTTTTGCAGGTGATGCTGACAAGCTTCTGCACATCCAGATAGAAGATTCCCTGGAAGCCATCATTTCCCCCTTTCTGCGCCACCTCTGTCACTTTATTGGTAAGGAGCATTCTCTAACAAGGCAGCAACTGGCCTATGCCCAGGGGCACAGGGATGGTGCACCTCATTCACATGCGTATTCCTAATTGGGACTCTCAGTGCTCAGGAGAGAAAGGGCAGCACATACCCACCCAGGTGTGGTCAACCCCAAGACAAGAGTGCTTCTCCAGGGCCATCAGCAATATGCACAGCCATGCGTTTACCTCTGGGGCAGTAGGGCCAAATAAGAGCTCCAGAGTGAATGGAATACTCTATATTGTGGCCTTGCCTGGACTGGTAGACCTGGCTTCACTGCCTCTGTTGGCCTGTCGTGAAATGAGGGTGTTGTCCCACCATAGGTGCCTGTGTTCATGGAGACCTGCTCTTGTGACTCAGAGGTGACTTGTTCCTGCCCTTTTGTCTGGTTAACAAGATGAGGTGGGATGAAGGCTCCAGAGCTTCTGACTTCTCTGATTTTAATTGTTTATGCCCAGTGCCCCTCTGTCCTCTCACCACACACAGTAGTGCCAACAGTGGCTTACCTCATTGAAAGCCGATTTTTCAGTCATTCCCCAGGCTCAGGATTGCCCTAGTTGAGTAAGATACTTGGAGTGAGTGAGGTTAAGTCAGGTCAGAGGCCCCACCCCAGGACTACCTACTTGGCACCAACTCAGCCCCCAGCCTGAGTTGTTGCACAGGGGGACAAAGCATGGTATTTTGGCTCAAACATCTCTTATTTTCACAGAATGTTGCAACTATCACTTAAATAGCAGCTGAGACAGTCTTGCCACATGTCCCAGGGGATGGCAGAGCTCTATGGCACAAAGAGGCCCCTTCTCCAGCCCTGACTTACTGGGTGGCCCTGGGCCAGTCCTTAACTGCTTGGTGCCTCAGTTTCCTTATTCATGAGATGAGTCAGTTGGCCTTATTCATCTCTGAGTCCTGTTCCAGCACTGGAATGGTTATCTGCAGTTCTTGGGTTACTAAACCAGCCTAGTTTGACAGCTTAGATTTTTTCACCATCCCTCATTGGGTGAGATTCACACAGACTCAGTGTCATTTTTAGATATGCTTATAGCTGACATTTCCATGCCAGCACTGGGCTAAGCACAGCACAAACTTTATGAGGTAAGCAAAATACTGCTATCCCATTTTCCAGATGAGGAAACTGTAGCTAAGAGTAACATGCCCACACTCCACAATAGTGAGTGGCAAAGCCAGGCTTCACACCAGCAACACTGTCTCTGTCAGTACCATGTGTCCTTGGGGGAACAATCCTCTCATTCCCATCCAAGGAGGCCAACGGGTAGCAGACCTTCCTGGTCTGAAAGCCTGGAGAGCCAAGAAAATGCCTTTGCATGATAGTGCTGAATGCCCAGGTGTGATTCTCTTGAATTGCCAGTGAGGTCTGAGAATCCCATTTGCCAGGTGATGAAACAGTGGCCTAGAGATGGCATGTGACTTACCTAGGACATGGTGTACTTACTGGTTCTAAATCCACTCTTGGACCCACTGGGGCTAGTCATCTTACATCAACTCAGGTCCACAGGGAAGGGGCATCCCCCACAAACCTTCCTTCCTCTTGCAGATATCCACCTTGATCTTGGCTCTGTCATCCTGATATTCTCCACCTTGGGCATCAGTCGCAGCTGTGCAGCCATCTTGGCCTACCTCATGCACCGGAACGAGCAGACCTTAAAGGTATGCATTCCTTGGCCTAGGCTCTAACTATAGCCTCCTCCATGAGGGGGTCTGAGCTGCACCTGGAGAAACAGTCCCTGGCACTGCCTCAGGAACCTAACTGGTGGATGAGATGGAGAAGGGGTGCTCCAAGTCCAGGGCTTTACCTAGCATACCATACTCAAGGGCAAGGACCCGACTGTGCTGGAGATCTGAGATTGGACACATGGGGCAGGCCCAGGGACTCAGACTGTGCAAGGCTGCAACTGGCAGTACTTTCTACATGTCCCCTACTGCCATTAGTCTGTCTATTAGGGTTTGTTCATGGTTCTTCAAGAGAGGTGCACTGTTGGAGTCATGGAATTGCAATGCTGGCAGGGCTTCAGCAGGTACCCACTCCAACAATTATTTTACCCTTCTGCTTGAGGGGAGCAGAGTCCAGAGAGGAGAAGGAAGTAGGGACCCATCACAACAAACCTCGTGGAAACTGAGGGCTCTGATTTCCAGGGCATTACTTTCCCACTACCCACTGCCCTAGGAGATCGCAGGCCTATCGCGAGGGAGGGCGAGCCTAGTTTGGCACAGCTTGTACTTGATTTCAGAGGTCATGGATAGGACCTGACAAGCTCCCACATTTGTCCAGGAGTGTGCTTGGAGGGACAAAGATTGACCGTGGTCAGAGCCCATTGCCAGTGGTTCTGGCTATTGACTCAGTGTACTCTTTGCAGGTGCAATTATAGGCTAGAAAGAGTCTTGGATATCCAGCAATTCCACTTCTGGGTATACACCCAAAAGAAGTGAAAGCAGGGATTCAAAGAGATGTTTGTACTGTACACCCATATTCATAGCAGCATTATTCACAATAGACAAAAGGTGGAAGCAAACCAAGAGATTATTGACAGATGAATGGATAAATAAAATGTGTTCTATTCATATAATGGAATTCTATTCAGCCTTAAAAGGGCAGGAAACTCTGACATGCTGCAACAATTGAGGACATTATCCTAAATGAAATAAGCCCATCATAGAAGACCAAATACTGTATGATTCCACTTATATGAAATAGAAAAGTCAGATTCATAGGGCCAGAAAGTAGAATGGTAGATGTTGTTTAATAGGCATGGAGTTTTAGTTTAGAAAGAAGAAAAAGTAGCTGAAACCGGTTTGGCTCAGTGGATAGAGCGTTGGCTTGCAGACTGAAGTGTCGCAGGTTCGATTCCGGTCAAGGGCATGTACCTTGGTTGCAGGCACATCCCCAGTAGGGGGTGTGCAGGAGGCAGCTGATCGATGTTTCTAACTCTCTCTCTTCCTCCCTCTCTGTAAAAAAAAAAATCAATAAAATATATTTTTTTTAAAAAAAAGAAAGATGAAAAAGTAGAGATATATGCACAATATAGTGACTGTACTTATTGCCATTGAATTGTATGTCTAAAAATTATTAAAATGGTAAATTTTATGTTATGTGTATTTTACAATTAAAAAAAGAAAAGTCTGAATGTAACATCTGAGGAAGGACCTGGAGTGAGAGGCAAGATGCCTGCTCTCTCACCCCATCAAAGGTGAATTGTCGGTGCACTCACACTGGGGTCGCTGCCGGCTTGTGGATTATTTCGGTGTGTGCTGGACGGGGAGATATTGCTAATATTCTGGGAAGGAGGCCTGTGTGGTTGCGCCAGTAGAGATGCCTTTCCAGCCCTCTTCCCAGCAATGGGCTCTCTCCTGTGAGGGGCCACTTCTTCAGTGCCCCTTTGAGCTGGTAGGGAGAAGGCAAAGAGCCGGTAGAAGGCAGACCAAGCTCATCTACTTGAAGGGGGCTCAGGAGTTCTAGGACTTGAACTCCCTTGGAGTTTGAATGGGGCGGTGTGTGAATTTCAGCAAGCCCTGCCCTGCTGTAGTCCCTGGTGTCTTCATTGTTCATAGGAAGCTTGGACACAGAAGATCCTTGGAGCCTTCCAACTTTGACATTTATCCATTCATCTGTCAAAGCTGCTATGAATATGGGTGTACAGTACAAACATACGTCCTAACCCTGACAAGCAAATCACAGTCCTCTCTCTGACTACATCAAAAGCAGGTGTTCCAGAGCCAGGTGGGGTGAAAGCAAAGAGAGGAGTCCCCTCACCCACTTGGCTCCTCTAAAGTTCTCCAGCAGTGAGGACCAGGCCCACAGCAATGTGGCACATGCAGGCCTGTACCTGTTCTTTACTGCAAAGAGATGCTCAGCTCCAGCAATAAGGGTAAGGGATAGCTGGGCACAGTTGTTCTGGTCAGTGGGTAGATAGGCATTTGGGCACCTGAGACTCCAGACAGTTCTGGTCTCAGGAGACACTCTGGTGCTCCCTTCCTGGAGTAGCAATTTTCATCTCATCTGTAGGGAAGTCTTGTTATGGGACACTCTGCAGAGATGCCATCTAGATAACTCTTGGCCAGAAAAGCACAGCTCCTGGAACTATGGGCAGAAGCACTGTTGCTGTGACCTTGCTATGTCCTCTCCAGACTCAGTGAGTCCTGTGTAGCCATTAGCTTCTCCTGCTACCAATCAAGCACCCTGGTCACTGACACAGGTGGACCTGAGCTCAGCTCTGCGGCTGCCTGGGATCTGGCAGAGACATACCTGCCTTCCGTTGTCTGTATGGTCTTGGGGATGGTCCTCAGTGCATTGGGGAAGCTGGGCTCTTGGCTGCGTCAGCTCAGCTGATAGAATCCACAGAACTGACAAGAAGAATGTAGATCACTCTCCTGTAACCTACTGATTCCTGGGCTTGTAGTCCCAGCTCAGCTCCTCAGGGCACCAAGAACAAGAGTCAGAGTCAAGGAATGAGCTAGGAAGTATCTAGCACCAGAGCCACTCCTGCCTACCCTAGGCTTTCAAAGCTTTGGGAGAAAGTTGTGTGGGACCCCAGAGCTAGTAAGCCTTTAAGAAAGCAATTTTTTATTTTTCATTGAATTTTTACAGAGAGGAAGGGAGAGGGATAGAGAGTTAGAAACTATTGATGAGAGGGAAACAGATCAGCTGCCTCCTGCAACACCCCCTGCTGGGGATGTGTCCCTAACCAAGGTACATGCCCTTGACAGGAATCAAACCTGGGATCCTTCAGTTTGCAGGCTGACGCTCTATCCACTGAGCCTAGGCAGTTAGGGCAACAATTTCTTTTTTTAAATTTTTTTATTTTATTGATTTTTTACAGAGAGGAAGGGAGAGAGATAGAGAGCTAGAAACGCCGATGAGAGAGAAACATCGACCAGCTGCCTCTTGCACACCCCCAACCGGGGATGTGCCCGCAACCAATGTACATGCCCTTGACCGGAATCGAACCTAGAACCCTTCAGTCCGCAGACCGACGCTCTACCACTGAGCCAAACCGGTTTCGGCTAGGGCAACAATTTCCTTTTCAATTGCTAGGAGTAGCTTTGTCCCTTAAGATCTTAAGAGAAAAACAAAAACCAACTCCTGAGGCATTGTAATAGCTTACATTGGCAGAGTCGTTCCATATAAAGGTTGTTTTAAGTACTTTATGTATAGTGAAAACACAGTGACCTCCATAGCCTGTTATTATCCCATTTTTAAGGAGGCATATAGAGGCTAGGTAACTTGCCTGAAGTTCTATAGCTATAAGTGGAAGAGCCAGATGGCTCAGATGGAGAATCTGGGCTGTTTTTTAAAAATCCTCCCTGAGGATATGTTTTTATTGATTTTTAGAGAGGAGAAGAAGAAACAGACAGAGAGACAGAGAGAGAGTATTGATTGCCCCCCCCCCCCCACTGGGAATCAAACCTGAAACCTAGCTATGTGTCCTGACTCAGAATTGAACCTGCAACCTTTTTGTATATAAGCAATGCTCCACCCAGCTGAGCTTCTGGACCAGGGCGAGAATCTGGGCTTTTAACCTCTAAAACATCAGGGAGAGCACCTGCCTTGCCGTCTAAAGAATGGAGCACTGCCAGGTCAGTGTAGCTTAGTGGTTCAGTTTTTAGTCAGGGCACATGCCTGGTTGTGGGCTCAAGCCCCAGTAGGGGGTGTGCAGGAGGCAGCAGATTGATGATTCTCATCATGATTCCGGTCTCTGTATTCAGAAGCAGAGGCGCAGAGGGGCTTGCCAGCTCTGACTCCTTTGCTCTAACGCCATGGTTGGCAAACTGTGGCTTGCGAGCCACATGCGGCTCTTTGGTCCCTTGAGTGTGGGTCTTCCACAAAAATACCACGGCCCGGGCGTCTATTTTGAAGAAATGGCGTTAGAAGAAGTTTAAGTTAAAAAAATTAGGCTCTCCAAAGAAATTTCAATCGTCGTACTATTGATATTTGGCTCTGTTGACTAATGAGTTTGCCGAACACTGCCCTAATGCACTAACCCTTGTTATTTGTGTCCAGCCCTTAAGCCATGTTGCTAGCCCCTGGGCAAAGGCCTCCTGTCCCTCCAGAGCTGGCTGTGATCTAAGTGGGAGGAGCCCAGGTCCAATTCTGAAGTCTTTCTCTCCTTTGTTCACAGAAGTCCTGGGAGTACGTCAAGAAGTGCAAAAACAACGTGCGTCCAAACCAGGCTTTAGTGGCTGAGCTCTCAGAGTGGGAGGCGATTGTTCTCGGAGGCCTCGTCACAGATACCACAGTTGCATTCTCCTGATCTCTGTGGCCCAGCTATGGGTCCTGAAGAACTTTGCTTGGGAGCTTCTTGTGGGTAGTGGGCTGGGATGTGTAACCAGGTTGGTGTGGAAAAGGCCTTTGCTACCTGGAGCCTCTTGTCAGCTTCCCGCATTGATTCTTCCCAAGCTCCTTGTTCATGCTACACAGCAGTTACTCTGCTCAAACTCAGCAAGCACCCTGATTGATCCCCCTGTCATCCTGGGCCACCCCCATAAGCCCCCCGTCATCCTGGACCAACCCCACTGCACTCCAGAGCAGCCCTAGTGCCCCCCATGACTTGGACCCTTTGAAGGCTGCCTGGGGGCAACTCTAGGGGTTCCTTCTGCCAGTGGTAGATGATAGGGGTATCACAATACCCACCCATGGGCACCGATTCCCCAGTCCTAAAGATGCAAGCCCAAACTCCGCAACTGAGAGGCTCCTGGCCTAAGGGTATACTTTTGTCTCATCTCCAGTTCCAGCGTGCCCCACCACTCACTTCAACACTTGTATCAATTTCCTCCTACCTGTGTTCACAAAGAAGAGATTCCTAGTCCTCATCTTCCACACCCAGACTTCTATAAATTCTTCAGGTCATAAAAGGAGTTTTCTTCAGAATGCACTTCTGAGCACTGGTATCACCCAAAGAACAAGCCTGGAGTCAGGACAGGGCCCAGACAAGGGGACTAATGAGGAATTTAGGATGTCCACCATTGTTCATTCAGCAAATATTCCCTGCCACCTGGGCAGGCCTGGGGACATAGAGGTGAATGCCATCTCACCTCTGCAGAAGGTTGGAGATCCCACCTACCCCCAGCAAGCCTAAGCCCTCGAGTGGGGTAAGGGCTTTTCTGGCCACGCAGGCTTTCGTCAGATTCTTAGCTGGAACACATCCTGGGATGGCTGCAGTGATACCTCTGTCGTTAGGAACCATGTGGTAGGCAGGGCAGAGCCTTTGGGAAGTTTTTGGCAGGGACATGGTGGGGATTGGCCTTGTTTTAGGAAGGGCAGTCTGTAGCTGTGTGAAGGGACAGTGGCGGTGAGCCTGGAGGCAGAGAGACAGGAGGCCGCTGTCAACATCCAAGCGAGGTAAGAGGTTCAGAATTCCCTCCTCGCTGAGGCGCAACTTTCCAAGAACGAAAGTCTTTGAAGCAGGTGGCACCTCTGTAGGCTTTGGATTACTTCCAGCGTGACGGGCCGGGGCACTGCTGGCCACACCACGCGGTTGGCACTGGTGGAGCCCAGCGGGGGACCGCCGCAGCCCCAGACCTAGTCCAGGTCCGGAGTCGCTGGGCAAACGGCTCCGGGAGCACTTGGCTCCGCCCAGGCCCCGCCCCGGACCGGGATTGGCTCAGGGAGGGGCGGGGCCAGCGCGTTCGGGACGCCAGGCCCTGTTCCCATTGGTGGGAGCCGCGGCGCGAGCCCGGAAGCGGACGGGGGCGGAGGCGGCGGACGCGGAGGCACCTCGGCCCCGGGTTGCTGCGGCGGCGTCCTCTAGCCTCCGCTCGGCTGGCGCGGGGCCTGGCAGCCATGCCCCCCACGCCCCCGGGCCCGCTGGGCGACTGCCTGCGGGACTGGGAGGAGCTGCAGCAGGACTTCCAGGGCATCCAGGTGAGCGGCAATGCGGGCGCCCACTGGCCCCGAGCCATGTCTCTGGCTGGGGGTCATGTCGGGCCGCGGTACGTCTGGCCGCGGGGAGCAGGGGTCAGGAGTTGGGGACCCTGGCTCGTTCCGGAGGGCGGCGAGGCTCGGGGCCCCGGGGTCCCGCCTGGACCCTCCTCTCGGCCTCATGTCAGTGTCGGACGGAGGCGCACTTCGCCCGCACGGCCGCCGACACCCCGGCGGACCCCGCCGCGCCCGTGGGACCGAGGGCCCCGGGAAGAGACCCAGACCCCAACCTCGCTCTTTTACGGAAGAATGGCCGCTTGAGTCAGAGCTGCCGGGCCCCGTGTTGGGTCAGTCACTCAGCAAACATGCGGTGGGCCGTCCCGCCCCTGAGGCAGCGCCTCCGGACTGAGTGCACCGGGTGCACCGGAGGCAGTCCGGCAGGGCCCGGAGGTGCTGGTTCGTGAGGCCCCGGCCTGGACGAACATGTGGCTGCTGCAGAGAAGTGGGTGCACCAGGCCCTTCAGGCATCTCAGGGGCCTGGCCGGGATCGCAGTCCCTTTGAGCCCAGTGGGAAGCCGCTGGAGGAGTTGGCTGGCTCTGGCTGTGTTGGCCGCTCTGCTGTTCTTTGGGGAGTCCAGGGAGGAAGGAGGAGAGGTGGGGCTGGGTGTGGACAAAGGTGGAACATGCTGGGTTCTGAGGGGGCGTGGTGGCAAGAGAAACAATACTCAGACAGGGTAGAGCTCAGGAAAGCTGTGTTTTTGATTAGGACTTTACCTCTCCTGGACTGATTCCAGTCCCTTCCTGCTCACATTGAAGCCAAGCTGCACCCCTGGCCAGCCATACCTGCTGCCATCAGTGCTTCTTCCTAGAGTCCCAAGTAGAACCGACCTAACCCCCCAGTCTGATCATCACTGTCCTGGCCTCAGCCCCTGCCTGACCTTCCTCACATTGCCCCTTGCCCAGTCTCCAGGCTGCTGCTTCTCTAGACTCACCCACCAGGGCAAAGTGCTCTGGGAGGCTTTGGGCCAAAGGTACTGGGGGAGGTGTATGGGACTGGTCTTACAGCAGGAAGACCAGGGACTGAAGCTTGACCTTTAACCTGGGAGGAAGATCAAGGGAGTGCCAGAGCAGAGGCACCTTGCACATTCTCAGCTCCCCCTGCACATGTGGCTGGATAGGCAGGAGCATTGGCCAAGGCCAGGGGTGGCTTCAGGTAGCCTGTTTGGTCCACAAGGTGGACCTGTGGGCTTAGAATCCAGACTCAGGGTGGGACAGAGAAGGGTGGAAACAGCTAGTAGATGAGCTTAGACTAAAAAAACCTTCAGGGAACTAGCCAGTTTCTGGGAGAGGGGTGCCATGGGTGCTTCTGGGCTTGCAGAAAGAACCATCTCCTTGCCTGCCTTGGAGAGAGAGCAAGCTTAGGGAGGTCTCACTTCCTGCTGAGACCCTCCCAAGGAGCCCTGGAGGAATCTGTGCCCCAGCCCCTGCCCAGCAGGCTCTGGCTCAATGGCGCTCCAACCAGTCTGACCCTTCTCTCATCCTGGTCTCAGGAGACCCACCGGCTGTACCGTCTGAAGCTGGAAGAGCTGATCAAACTGCAGAACAGTTGTACCAGCTCCATCAGTCGGCAGAAGAAGAAGCTCCATGAGCTGGCCCTCGTCCTAAAGAAGTTAGGGGAACCCTCCCCCCTCCCTTTCCCCGCCCCCCCCCCCCCCCCCCGGCCTTCCATGGCCCCTCAGTATTGGTGTCTTGGTTTGGGTGGGGTGTCTCACCTGGTCGGGTGGAGGGCTGGCGCTGACGCTGGGAGTGTCTTTGGCACAGCTCCTCCCCTCTCTGAGCCGTGGTGGCCCTCCTGCCCCACAGGTGTTAGTGTGATACTCCTGCTCTGACTGGCTTCTGTGGTCCCACCTGCAGATGCAAACCCTCCCTCCCAGTGGGGGTCCAGGAGGCTTCGAAAGAGCTGGAGAACCAGATCAAGGAGCGCCAAGGCCTCTTCTTCGACATGGAAGCCTATTTGCCCAAGAAGAATGGGTGAGACCCTGCCCCCAAATTCAGTTCACAGCCGCTCCTGGCAGATAGGCCTGAAGTGCACTCTCACTCTGTTTGGTCATTTGGTCAGCAGAGGTTCCCTGGGCCCATTCGGGCTGAGCAGTCTATCTTAGGGGAGACAGCTGAGTGACAGCTCACTGTGATTGGGGCTTTGTGGTGGACCTACAGTGAACAGGGGAGTAAAGCAGGCCCCTAATTCAGCCCAGGAGGTCAGAGAGCCTCCTGGAGTAGCTAAGGCCTGAGTGGAGTTGAGCCTGGCCGACTCGGGAAGGCAGTAATAGCAGTGGGAGGTGAGAGGTCCTGATGAGAACGCAGGGGAGCCAGGCTGGGCCCAGTAAGCAGGGGAGAGTGACAGGTTGTGGCACTTCCACAACTGAGAAGGATGAGTAGGTACAGTGCAGAACCCTAGGCTGAGTGTAAAAAATTCCAGCAGAGATGGCAGGTAGCCAGATAGCTGGGGGAGAGCACGTCCCAGAGGGCAAGGTAAGGAGTGACAAGCCTCAGATCAGATAGCCTGAGGGGTCAAATGTAGTAATGAAGGGGAAATACTTCCTGGAGGTCAGGTGACCTTGGAGAGAACCACTTCACAGGACGGTGTGGGTGGGTGGAAGTTGATATTAGGAATGACGGAAGAACTGAGGAAACAGCCAAGTTTAGGTTACACTTTGGAAGCGTGGCTGTGAATGGAAAGAGGAACTAGTACCTAAACTTAGTGTGAGGGTTGGGGCTGGGGTGGGGCTTTTGCTTGAGCGTATGTGTAACTTTGAACCTAGGACGAATGAGTATACCTGCCTGCTGAAGGTGGGCCAGCAGAGGGAGACACCCAGAAAGGGAACACCAAGTGATGGAGGAAAACTCTGGGGAAGATGGAGGGGGCAACACGGGCCCCTGTTGTTTGGGGGTGAGAGGAGGTGCAGAGAGAAGCGTGACAGTGCAGGCAGGAGAGGCGTCAGATGCCAGGAAGGGGAAAGGATGGGATGGGGAGCCAGTGGTGGTCCTGAGAGGCAGCCTTGTCTAAGTGCCCACTCTGCCCCTTAATTTCTTCACAGCCTTGGGCAAGTCCCTTAACCACTCTGAGCCCACCCGTATGGCTTGAGTGTGAACAAGAGCCCATGTGTGGGTATAGTTGCTTAGTACGTGACTGTGACTCTAGGAGAGTCTTGAGGTTTCTCTGGCAGAGAAGGACAAGACAAGCTTAGCTGATGGGTGTGATGATAGTGCCAGGAACTGGGAGTTACAAGTTGGCAAGAAAGTGGCTGACATATGAAGGAGGGCTTGGAGACAGCTGGCTCAGGAAAGAGGAGCAGGGTCATCAGTGCCTGGGAACCTCTGGGTGGGGAGGGTCCATGTGGTGAAAAGGGCTGGGGGGCTGGGCACTCTGATCAGAGTTGTAACCAGTGTTGCTGAGGAGCCACTCTTGGTTGGGAGGAGGTCCTGGCGTGGTGGTGAGTGTGGGTTGCTGCAGTGGACTTGGGGCTGCAGGTTCTTGGAAGTAGCAGGAACTGTAGGGTAGGTGCCAGATGGGAATCCTGCACCCAGACATGGAGTCCACTGCCCAGACCCACAGGAGCGATCTGAGATGTGGGCAAGGCTTTCGTGGAGTGGAAGAGCCAGGCTGCTCTTGAGGACCCCCCCGGGGCAGGGGGCGCTGGGGGTGAGTAGGTGATAATGACAAAGGAGGGAGAGGAAGTTGTGCCTGAAGCAGGATTTAGGAGTAAGCAGAAACAGAGGCTGCACTTCAGTGTTTCCCGGTCTGCAGCATCCCAAGGTCAGAGCCCTAAATCAAGTCCATGGGTAGTGATCCAGCTATTGGTCTGGCACACTCGAAGGCTCGGCTTTTTGGCTGCCTTCACCTGGGGCCTCTTCTTACCCCGTCTCCCCCTTTCCTAGGTTGTACCTGAGCCTGGTTCTGGGCAACGTCAACGTGACACTCCTGAGCAAGCAGGCTAAGTAATTGGTTATTGTGGGCTGGTTCTCAGTCCAGCTCTCTACCCTTCTGGGGTCTTCCCACTGCTCCAACTGCCCTGGCCAAGCCTTGGGGTTTAGGGGCTACTCCCTCATGCTGGCCCAGGCCATGCATGCAAGTGCCTCCCTTCTCAGGCAGAGGTGAGGGGGGGGGGGGTGTCCTACGAGCATCCCAGCCTGTCCCATGTGTGTATGTGTTGTGTGTGCCCCCCCCCCCCCCCAGGTTTGCCTACAAAGATGAGTACGAGAAGTTCAAGCTCTACCTCACCATCATCCTCATCCTCATCTCCTTCACTTGTCGCTTCCTCCTCAACTCCAGGTGGGTATCCTACTGCTTGGGGCCAGATTTTGTTTGCTCCCTGCTTCTGCACCAACCCTGTGTTCCCCCTGCAGGGTAACAGACGCTGCCTTCAACTTCCTGCTGGTCTGGTATTACTGCACACTGACCATCCGAGAGAGCATCCTCATCAACAATGGTTCTAGGTGGGCAAGGGCCTGACCCCAGCTCCTGGGAGGCGGGCGCGGGGAGGGAGGGGATAGTGGAGCTACCCTAGAAAGTGGAGTGGTGGCGCCATGGCCCTCTGAGAAGCAGGACCTGGGCTGGGGTGTTGGTTTCTTCCCACCTCAGACAGCTCCCTGTCCCCGAGCACCAATCCTGGGGGCTAAGGGTTACAGAAGTGACAGCAGCTTCCTGATACAGGATCAAAGGCTGGTGGGTTTTCCATCATTACGTGTCCACGTTCCTGTCGGGAGTCATGCTGACATGGTGAGTGGCCCAGCTTGGCTCTCGGGGCCTTGGCAGTGGGGGAAGTGGGGAGCCAGGACAGAAAGACTCGGCATCTCCAAGCTCTCTCCCTCCCCTCCGCTTTCTGCCTTAGGCCCGACGGCCTCATGTATCAGAAGTTCCGGAACCAGTTCCTGTCCTTCTCCATGTACCAGAGTGAGTGTCTCAGGTCCTTGCTCAGCTCAGGACTTGCCCAGAGAGAGGGGCGGGGAAAGGACTTGGGCTCCAGCTCAATCCTGATGCCCTCCACCCTCCAGGCTTCGTGCAGTTCCTGCAGTATTACTACCAGAGCGGCTGCCTGTACCGCCTTCGGGCTCTGGGCGAGAGGCACACCATGGACCTCACTGTGGGTGAGTCGGCAGGAAGCTGGGAAGGGGAGGTCCTTTGCTCTCCACCTGGGTCTGAGTGATAGTGTCTGTCTGTCACTGGTTATTCTATGCCCTCCCCTTCTCCCTCACAGAGGGCTTCCAGTCCTGGATGTGGCGCGGCCTCACCTTCCTGCTGCCCTTTCTTTTCTTTGGACATGTAAGTTGAACCTGTGTCCCTTTCCCCCTGGCTGTCCAGCCCCTGCTCTGGCTGGAACAGGGACTGTGTTCTATGTGAAACCCCCCTCCTTCCCAGTTCTGGCAGCTCTTTAATGCGGTGACATTGTTCAGCTTGGCCCGGGATCCTGAGTGCAAGGAGTGGCAGGTGAGCCAGGGACCCTGAGAAGCACGCTGGGAGGACTGTGGTTCGGCCTCTGTCCTAATCCCGATTCCTCCCCCAGGTGCTCATGTGCGGCCTCCCCTTCCTCATCCTCTTCCTTGGCAATTTCTTCACCACCTTGCGGGTTGTGCACCAGAAATTCCACAGTCAGCGGCACAGGAGCAAGAAGGATTGAGGCTGGGTCTTCTGCCCACTGGCCCGGAAGGGGCTTCTGTACCCCATGTGTTGTTTTAAGAGGCGGGACTCCCTTGTCCAGAAGGTCTTTCTGCTGTTTCTGGGTTTTGTGGGCTCTGTGGGCCCCAAAGGCTATGCTGGAGAAGATCTGGACCTGTGTCCCAGCCTGCGGCAAGCTGGGGCCAGTGGCCTTAATAAAGGAAGGGAGGCACGAGGTGGCGCGGTGTGTGGTCTCCTGGTGGCTCTGTGCTGCCTCAGCATGGGTTCTTAGGACCGAGTTGGTCTCTCTGTTTGAAGAACATCAGGCAAATACAGAAAACAACTTTATTCCAAGGGCCAGAGGTTATTTAAAATTATTTACATTCATTGAAAATCACATGGAGGGGCCAAGCCCCTGCTCAGCTGAGAGAAGAGCCCCTTTTGCACAGCCCCTGGAGGCCTGAGGTGTTCACAGAGTGAGGACCTGGTCACCCTGGGCATTGCCCTTCGGCAGGGGCCTCAGGCACGGCTTGGGCTCAGAGCAGTCTTTGTCACGGAGTCTGCGTCCTGGGACACGGCCCAGCAGAGCCCATCCAGGAAGCTGCAGAAGGGGAGGAAAGTGATTATATGGGGAAGCCAAGTCTATGGGGCTTGAGGGCAGAGCGGGCTCTTAGCTCCACACGTCCAAGGAGTATCGGCCCTTGGTCATCAGTTTCTTGATGTAGTCCACGGCCTGGGCGTGCTCCATGGACCCCAGCTCAGACACGATGTCGTAGAAGGTGTTCTGCACATCCCTCGCCATGTTCCGAGCATCCCTGTGGGGAGGAAGGTGGCATTGGGGGCTGGGCAAGGAGTGTCCCCGTGGGCGCACAGAGCCTCAATCTTGCCACTCCTCTACCCTCACTCACCCACAGACGTAGATGTGGGCGCCCCCCTCATGGATCAGCTTCCACAGGTGCTCCTTGTCCCTCTGTAGTAAGTGCTGGACGTAGACCTGCGGGCAGAGGGTGGTGCCCGTGAGGCGGCCGGTCTCACAGCCCTCCACCCCGCCAGAGCCCCCGGCCCCTTCCTCACCTTGTGGGGCTGCTCCCGGGAGAAGGCCACATTGAGCTGGGTGAGGGAGCCCTCCTTGTGGAACTGGGCCAGCTCTTCCCGGTACAGGTAGTCCTCGTCAGAGCGGCGGCACCCATAGTAGAGCAGCGTCTCACCCACCTCCTTACCTGGAGGGGAGAGTGCCCAGGGTGGGCATGGAATCTGTCCCATCCCTGCCCGCCCCACTCCCCCCACATCCCCCTGGGCCCACATACTCACCCTGCTGCTTCAGCCAGGCCCGCTCCTGAATGAAGCCTATGAAGGGGGCCACCCCAGTGCCAGGGCCTATCATGATGACAGGTGTGGTGGCCTTGAAGGGCAGGCGGAACTGGGACTTGCGCACAAACATGGGCACCAGGGCCTTGCAGCCGTTCTCCCCTGCGGGCTCCTTGGCCCGAAGCCAGCTGGTGGCCACACCCTTGTTGATCCGGCCGGACTTGGTTTCATATTCCACAACCACAGCACAGATGTGCACAGAGTTGGAGTGGACCTGGCGGAGGGCAGGAGTGAGATCAATAGTGATGCCCGAGGCCCCATCCTCCACCAGCCCTGTCACCGGAGCGGTCTTAAGGCTTCTCCATCCCTTCTTGGTGCCCAAACCCAAAAGCCCCTTTCCAGGAGCTTTCCGGACTGGCTCTTGCCGCCAGGGCTGGAAGCAGTGTGCAATCTCACAGCCAGCCTACTGGTATTCCGCCCAGTGAGCCCAGGAGCTTGGGTCGGAGCTGGAGCTGCGCTCAGGGCTCCCGTGCCCTCAGAGAAGCCAGTGCTGTGCTTTCTGTAAGTTGCCAGCCTTTCCCCACCTTGGAGGAAGAAGCGATGGAGTAGTAGCGGGCCTGCAGCCGAGGCAGCAGCTCACACAGGTGGTCGATGGGGGGCCGCAGGGATGGGTAGTCCTGCAGGATGGCCAGGATGTGCCTCCGAGCCTCCACCACCCAGCTCAGGTACAGCTCCTGGGGAGACGGAACTTTGGGTGAGCCACAGGTGAGGGAGGGGACACAGTGGTTCCAGGAGACACGGCTGAGGTGGCGGCGGGTTGGGTGCTGGGGGTGGAAGCGGCGCTTGCCTTGCCCTCGCCCGAGGAGGAGGCCATCTTGCGCAGGTGTTCCTGCTCCGAGGGCTCCGAGGCGTACTGGGCCAGCTCGTAGAGCACGTTGGTGCGCGGCGGGTTGGTGATGTCCAGGTAGTAGGTGAGGGCTGTGCGGTAGGAGGTTGGGCAGGGGAATGGATGCTTCTTGTTGGACTCCTCTGCAGGGACAGAGAAGGGGGTTTGGTGTGAGGGGGTGCCATAGGGTCGGGGTGGGGGAAGCTGAAGGCTGTTCTGCAGGAAGCAGGTGGCCCAGCCGGCACTGGAAGCGGGGCCAGCTCTTTGCTGGCCCTGGGGCTGAGCCTCAGGTTTTCAGCCTCACACTTCGGCCAGGCAGGCAGTCCTCAGAGGCAGGACCTTGCACTCCAGGAGAGCCTGTTCCTAAGCGGCTCAGAGAGGGCTGCAGAGGCAGGGCTGCCAGTGTGTGCCTGCCTGCGGGCTGAGCCCAGTCTACTCTGGAGTCCCAGGCTCGTGACTGAGATGCCAACACTGCGGCTTTCAGCTGTGATGGCAGGACCCCTCCAGACCAGTTTGTATGCTTGGATACAGCTGGAGGTCTACACGGCACACAGCTGAGCTCCAGGTGCAGCCGCTGGTGCAGGCCCCATTGCCAGCCTGGCTGCAGCCTTCTCTGCCACCAGTCAATAGGCCAGCTTTACTGACCTCCCTCCAAACTAGAGCAGGGCCAGCCTGGGAGCTGCCAAGAAGCATCTCCCCCTCTTAAGAGATGTGACTGTGGGGCCAGATGAGTCTCTGCCGAGGACACAGAGGGCCTGGCCCAGGAAGGGCTCAGCATTTAAGGGTTTGGTTCTATTTTTGGAAGGGTTTGAACTTACTGCAGTATAGCCTTCATGAACCATACGAGTTATATGTGTGTAGCGTAATTAATTTTCACAACAACCTTGTTATCTGGCACCCAGATAAAAAACAAAACAAACAACCAAAAAAAAACCTGGGTGTTCCCAGCACCCCAGAGCCCTCTGTATGAGCCCAGAAACACGGCTCAGGCTCCACACTGCAGGAAACGCTGTGTGAGGGCACCTTTCCTAAAGCTACACATCTGCTGTGGGGAGTTCTGAGCCTCCACCTCTTTGTCAGCAGTCCTCAGCAGTGAAGGGCCCCCTGCAGGGGTTCAGATTCTCCTGGGGGAAGAGTGAGCACACCACACCCTCCCCAGCAAGGTGCCACCTCCGAAGGTACAAGGACATGACATCCCTACGGAACGAGAGAGACAGACCCAGTGTGTGTCCACTGTGCCCCCACGCCGGCATAACTAATTATAACATAAATCAGCCTCCTTTCCTGGGGAGAAGGAGCAGCCAGGCTAGGAGACCGAGGACGAGAGTGAGTGGGGCAGCAGCAGGTAGAGTTGGGCCTCAGGTGGATGGTCAGTGGGGGTACCAAGGGGTCAGAGCAAGAGGCCAGAGATAGTCCTTTGAAACCTTGGGGAAAATCCTATACTATATTTAGTGCCTCTTGCACTCTGAGCACCCTACATGGACCTGGGAGGCTGTTAGCGTTGCTGACTCTGATCCCCAAGTTTGCAGGTGAGAAGATGCAGGCTCTGGAACAGGGAGAGGGCAGCCCTCAGTAATGGTGGGGCCAGGCCTCCCTACTCCCTCCCAGCTGCCCTCACTCCCTCCTTCCTAGGGCTATGCCGGTGAGGGGATGAAGGGAACCCCAAGGTAGAGGATAGACCCCACAGCTACTTTTGCTCCCTGCCCCCTAAGTTTGCTACAGAATTGATAACTGGGTACTGGGGCTTCAGGCCTAAGCAGCTCAACCTACGGGCCTTGCCAAGGGACTTATTCCTGTCCACCACCTCAGGCCCAGGCAGGCAAGGGGAGTGGCCTTGATTCCAGATCTCACCATCAAGATTGTTGAGGGACATGACAACATCCAGGTCAGCACCCAGGATCTCGCCGATCTGGTTGACCAGGGCAGAGTCATTAGCTGGGTAAACAGCCACATGGTCACCCGATTCATACCTGGGGGAGAGAGGCATGAGGCTCAGGAGGAGGGTGGAAGGCCTCTGTAGCCAAATCAGGAGGCCCCTTGAAGGTGTGGGAGAGGGAGTGGCAGTAGATGGTACCTGATTTTGGAATCTGTGATGTCTAATTCCAGGTGCATGAGGTGTCGCTCAGTTCCCTGGTTCAGCTTCCGGTTGGTGGTGACAACAGCCAAGAATGGATTCTTGGCATCAAAGGGGCTGGGTGGGGAGGAGAGCAGCTCAGTGATTGGCCAGGTCTTCAATCTGAGTCTCCCTGCCCCAAAGCGACCCTTCTGGTTTCACAGAACTCAGAGCTGGCACCAAGGGCCACGAGAAAACCTCTCCAAGTATGTAAAGGGCTTTCCCAGCCCGATTCCAGTTGTCTCCTGACAACTCCACAAAGGAGGTGGAGCTTGGTTATCAATGCCTCTATTTACAGATATGGAAACTGAGGCTGGGAGACCCTCCATACTCCAAACCGATTGGTGAGTTGAGTGCAAAGGAGGACTAGGCCCATGAAGGTAGCTCCCCAAGGCAGAAGGTGCTTGGGGCCCTGAGTGACTGGAGCAGAGCTGTGTCACCCAGTGTGCCTGGGCTACAACAGGAACAGGAGTGAACTTTTACTCTGTACAGTCACTGCAATGTTAGAACTTCCTGGTAGAGTGGGACTCCCGCCAGGCTGATTAAGCAGAGCTGCTGGTCTTGATTCCTGGTGGTATAAGCAGGACTTTCCTGGGCAGCACCCGGTGTAAGGCAAATCAAGGGCCCACGTGAGGAACTTCGTTTTTGGTCAGAAAGTTGAGGGAGAATTTAAGGAGTGTGCCCTTTTGCAAAGGTTCAGCTTAGAACCTTTTGTTATTTCCTGGTTCAAGAACTGGTATGTACCTCCCACCCTAATATATTTACAGAGCAAAATGTCAGCAAATAATGTACAAACTGAGCAAATGCCAGTCTCAGGCTGTGCCCTGTCCTGAGGGACCACTGGGTGGGGAGGGTCCTGAGGGCCCTAACCATGGAACAGTCTCCCCTCTCCGCTCTGGGCCTCATGCCCTCCTTGTGGTGGAGACCCTCACTCATGCCCGCTTCTGGAAAAGGGTGGAGATGAGGACACTCTCAGGACGGGGTCTGCAGGGGCACACAAACTGCCTGTTGTCTCCTGTCCCCAGGCGCCTGAGGTGGGTGTGCCAAGAGCTACAGGGTCTGGCCCGAACCATGCTCTCTACTCACGGTTTCTGGTTCTCGTAGCTCTTCAGACGGCCCATCTCACCCACGTACACCTTGGCCATGTCTATGTCTGAGTGAACCACAAGCTCGTACTGGCGAATGCTGCAAAGGGAAGACCAAGTGTGAAGCTGGGAGCTGGTGGCCGGTAGGAGGCTCAGGGATCAGTCCCAAGATAGGAGGGAGCTTGAGTCAGGGAATGACACTGTCAGGAGATGCTACATGAGGGTCAAGAGGTGGGAGGGAGCCAGCATAGAGCTGGGGAAGGCTGGTACAGCCTGGGTTCAGCAGCTTCTAAGGGAGAAGGGAAGGCAGGCCCATCACTTCAGGCAAAGCCAGCACCTTAGCCTGGGACTTTGTACCCTCCTGTACCTGACTAAGCTCTCACCAGCCACCACCGACCAGGCCAAGTCTCCCACCCTCAGGAGGCAATTGCCCTCACCCTCACCCCTACCCCCAGTCCCAGTCCCAGCCTTGCCCTCACTCTCACCCCCACCCTCACTCTCACCCCAACCTTTACCCCCATCCCCGCCCCCACCCCTACTCCCAGTCTCACCCTCATCCCCGTGCTCCCCCCACGCTCTCCCTCACCCCTACCCTCACCCTTATCCTCATCCCCAGCCCAATCCGTAGGCACACTCTCACCTGGACTCCTCTCCCGTGGCTTCCACCCCGAAGTGCTCACACACAGCCGGCCAAAACTGCTCTCGCCATGTGATGAAATCCTCCTCCAGGCTGGGGAGAGGAGGCAATGAGCCTGGCCCCAGGCCACCCAATTGTGGCAATGGGCTGGCTTCCCCAAAGGGTGGACTCCCTGGCACCCCCAAAAGCTCATTTCAAGCTGGCCCGCCCAGTGATATAACCCATGGCATCAGGAAGTGTCTCGAGTATCTGTGCTAACCATGGGTGGCTTCCATCTGAGCTGGGCAACCAGAGGATGGGGAAAAGCAAAAAAAGTGTGGGGCTGAGGGAGGGCGGCTCCCTTCCCTGTGTGTCTGAGTTCCAGCAGACCCCATGGCTTTGCTCTCCCCTTTGCCACGGCCAACCCCTAACCCTGTGGGTTCCTGACACCTGGGGTGGGAGGCGCTGGGGAGGGGGGCCAGCATGCAAGGCTGGGTCTGGGGCACTCACTTCCCGTCGTCGTCGCCCATCCCCAGCTCAAAGATTCGCTGGGCACCAAGCTGCTCTAGCCGCTTATCCACGTACTTGCCCATGGCATTGAAGTGCTCATAGGTCTTGTTCCCAAGGCCAAACACCTGTGTGGACAGAGGGGTGGGTCTGAGGCCAAGCCAGCAGTCAGGGGTGGTTTCCCTACGGCGCTGGCCAAGCTGCTAGGCAGCTCTGTGAGGTGGGCTACCTTTGGCCCTGGAAGTGGCTTTGTTTTGATGACCTGCAGACCAGCCTCTAAGCCTCAACCCTGGATGGCCAGCAGAGGCAATCCCCCTCACCCCCCAGGTTCTCCTTGTCCAGCCAAATCTTGGTCATCCCACCACACCCCTCTTGTCTTTAATCTCCAGCAACAAATGCCCCCTGGAGCAAAGTAGGGCTGGGACATGGAGCAGCGCTCTCGGTGCTGGAGTCCACGGTGGAAGAGGGGTTCCACTGCCCCATGAGCAGCCTTCCCTGAGGCTCCCTGTCACAAGCTTCCTGCCAGCCTCCCCCACCCTGTCCTGACCCCTTGGCCTGCCCTCCACGATCAGAAAGAGGTGAGACCTCTTAGACATAGGGGTCCAAAGGTCGGGGGAGGTACCACAATCTGCCACTGGGAGCCCACTGGAGGAAAGATAGGGGTGACTCACCGCATACTTGACTCCAGAGAGGTCCACATCTGTCTCCTGAAGCCAGTCATAGAAGTCCTGGGCATTGTCAGTAGGGTCACCCTCGCCGTAGGTGGCCATACAGAACACTGCCAGGGAGTTCTCTATTTCTGGCAGGCTGCCCAGGTCGGCCTGGAGAGACAAGGGCAGGGCCCAGGCCCAGCGACCATGACTCAGCCTGCTTGGGTCAGGTTTGCACCTGATGGGGTGCACACAAGCGAGTCCAGGGGTCGAGTGGAGGGGGTACACTTACAGAGGAAAGGGTGCTGACAGGCACAAACAGGCTGGGTTCCAGGCACCAGCTGGCACTCAGAAGGTGGTTCCCTGTGCACCAGCCCAGGCCACCACAGAGAACCTCACTGTCTCTCAAAGTCCCCGGAGCAGGTCCCTCTCACTAATCCCTAGCCAACGGTTCTCTGACCCAAGCCCAGGACTGCAGACAGACAGATGCCTATTCCCAAGAGCGAAGGCAGCATGGAGAGGGTGGAGGGCGGCGTGGTTTGGGAGATGGAGAGGCAGGAGCAGGAAGTACCTGCCACTCAGGAGAGTGTCCTGAGGGGAAGGACACTGTTGTATGTTGGAGCTGCATGAGCAGCCAGGCAATGAGTAGCAATGACCCCACCAGGGGAGAAGCCAGAAGGCAAGTCCTCGAGGATTCTTCTCAGGACCAGTGGCTCACTACCAGCCTCCTTCCCTCCTGGGTACCTAAGGCTTGGCTTCCCCTCCCCTGTCCACTACTTCCCCCTGGGGCAGGTGGCCTGCTGTCATTAGCTCTCCAGACCCAGAAACAGGCAAGAGGGCTGCTTGAAGTATCCTGCCTTCTGAAGAGCTGCACCATGCGAGGGGCAGAACAAGGACAAAGGAGCCGATCCAGGGGGAGAGTGAGCAGGTGAGCCGCCTCCACAGCCTCAGAGACGGACGGGGCAGCCGAGGCTGGAGTCAGGGCTGAGTCTGCAGACAGTACTGTGGTGGCCGAAAGGAGAGGGAGGGAGGGAGGAACCCGGCAGCTCCAAACGGGGCCTTTCCATCTTCAGGTTTCCTGGTCCCTCTCCAAGCTGCACGCTTCCCTCGGCCCTGTCCCTGCTCCTGCTCTCGCCGAACTCAGGAGTTTATGGCATCACTTCAAAGCCCAGCAGAAAGATTCCAGAGATGGCTGTCTGACATTCCTCATCTGGACATGAGGCAAGGAAGGCCCGCAGGGGCTCCCCCAGGGGATTGGAGCCCACATTCCCCCTCAGCCGGCTCCCTTGCCATGTCAGTTTGGGGGGTAGGGTGGGGTGTTTAGATGGAAAATTCCTCTCCTGACCTGCTTTCATTCTTACATGGGCTTTCATCACCTGTACATTGTATCGAGGGTTCACAAGTCAAGTCTCCTTCCGTCACCATTTATCCCCCGGTCTCTCTTATACCTCCCCCACCCTCCTCGGGTGTTCTTAATGTCCTTAAAACTAGGGCCACCTGGCTGTTAGTACAAATGGTAGGAGACGTCCATTCCTGTCTGTCCCTTTGGTCAACTCAACCCTTTAAGCATCTCCACAACCCAGAGACGCCGTCCTTAGATTGGTGCCGCTGGAAGAGCTGGAGGAAGGGCCGCGCGTGGCGAGAGCTCACCAAGTCATACTCCTCGGGGTCGGCTGACATGCCCCGCATCCCGTAGCGGTGGGCGTCCTTGGACAAGCGGTTGGCGAACTCCTCGGCAGTGCCCGTCTGGGAGCCATAGAACACGATGACGTTCCTGCCCTGGGGGAGCAGAGACTCGGGTCAGGGAGGGGCAAAGGCTTCCCCAGACTCCAGGGACCACAGGGGCAGCCAGGTGGGTGGAGCACCTCAAGGACACCCTCCTTCCTGCTGCTTCAAGTCCTTCCTACGCCATTCTGGGGGAAGGATCTCACTGCCACCGCTCCCTGGTGGATGAGGGCAAAGGCCACCCAGCTGACTCACTGTCATCAAGATAATCTCTCACAGCTACTTAAGATCACACTTTGGGCGGATTTTTAAATGACATGCAGAAAAACACAAGTGTTCAGTAAAAAAGGATGACTAGACAGTATGCATAGTATAATCCAATTGTTACATATCCACACCCATATATATGTGTATGTGTGTATATATGTATATGTTCTGTTTATATACATACATACACGAAAGAAAAAGACTGGCAAGAAATATACCAAGGGCCTCTAAATGGGGAATTGTGGGTGGGTTTCTGGATGAATATAAAAGTGACGCACACTTATGGAAATGTAGACACAGGGAAAAGCACCATATGGACTGGGTCACATACTCTTCCTCCCACCCTCCTGCTGTCTTCTACAGCAGCTTCTGAGAAAAGCCCCATCTCTACTCCCAGATTTCCTGCAACCAGGGATGCAGCAAACTAGGCACAGCCAACAGGATGGGCTTTTTGAGGTCTGGAAGGTGGAAGTGAGGCACAGTCATGAGGTTTCTCTGCAGTGGTATCCAGAGCCCAACCCCTACAGTGGTCTCTGGTTTTTGCACCTAGCACCAACTGATCCAGGTAAAAAGGACAAAATAAAACATATGGGTTACAATTGGCTTAAAGTGTTCTCATGCTTTTTTTTTTTTTTTTTTTTTTAATATATTTTATTGATTTTTCACGGAGAGGAAGAGAGAGGGATAGAGACTTAGAAACATCGATGAGAGAGAATCATCGATCAGCTGCCTCTTGCACACCCCCTACTGGGGATGTGCCCGCAACCAAGGTACATGCCCTTGACCGGAATCGAACCCGGGACCTTTCAGTCCCCAGGCCGACGCTCTATCCACTGAGCAAACCGGTTTCGGCAAGTGTTCTCATGCTTTTTACATTTCCTGGATTTTCTACAAATCATTTAAAAAAGTATTTTAAAATAATCACTATAAAAACTACTAAATAAAGTAAAAAATGCTTATGATATCAGGTTAAGGAAACCAAACAGGATATAAATAGTAGCTAAATATTTATGATAACATCAAAACATATAAAGTACTTAGAAATAAACCTTGTAAGATTCCAGACAGTGGTGGCAAAGGGACCTAGCAGTCATTACACTCTGTACTCTCACGCAACTGCAGAAAAGAAATGTGAGTTTCACTTAAGAATGACCTTAATGAAACAGTAAGAATTACTAATTGTATTAAGTCTCATCCTTTGAGTGCATGTAATTTTATTTTATTATTTTTATTAATTTCAGAGAGGAAAGGAGAAAGGGAGAGAGAGATAGAAACATCAATGATGAGTGAGAATCACTGATTGCCTGCCTCCTGTATGCTCCACATTGGGGATCAAGCCCATAACCTGGGCATGAGTATCCAACTGTGACCTCCTGGTTCATAGGTCGACGCTCAACCACTGAGCCACACTGGCTGGGCAGGTATGGTTTTTTGTGGGGGACGATGAAAATGGTCTAAAATTGAATGTGGTGATGGTTTGCACAACTCTGTGAATATACTAAAAATACACTAAAATACTTTAAATGGGTGAACTGTATGGAATGTGTATTTTATCACAATAAAACTGTTACCCAAAAGAAATAAATACACCTGAAATAAATACGCCAGAAAAACAAAAAATAGAAGGGATGGGAAGGGGCAGAGAAGTGCTTGGCACTACCAGATATTAAAACAAGTATAAAACTTCAATAATTAAAACAGTCTGATAGTGTACATACTCAGACAGCTAGATCGAAGTATAAGAATAAGGAAACATAGAAACAGAAAACCCATAGGAATTGTGTGTATGAAAAACCAATGGAGAAATGACAGACTCTATTACAAGGAATTTCGATTCTGTAAGAAAACCCAGTGGCCATAGCTGGTATGGCTCAGTAGGTTGAGTGTCATCCTATGCATAGAAAGGGTTACCAGTTTGATTCCCAGTCAGGCATATGCCCAGGTTGCAGGTTCAATTTCTGGCCGGGGTGTGTGCAGGAGGCACACATGGATGTTTCTCTCTCACAATCTCCCTTTTCTTTCCCTCTCCATTCCTCTCTCTCTCTAAAATCAATTTAAAATATATTAAAGGAAAAACAGTAGTATTGGATCTATATCTTACATTTTGTGCCAGGATATAAAGTCCCAGTGAGCTGAATTTTAAATATGAAAAATGAAATCATGAAGTACTAGAAGAAAACATGAAAGAATTCCTTTATCTCTTTAGGGTGAGGAAGGTCTTTCAAATGATGATTCAAAGTCCATTAAGTAATAGAAATAAGAATAAAGTGGACTATGTAACTTTTACAAACACACACACACACACACACACACACACACACGATAAATCAAGTCAAAAGCAACTATTAACTGGGAAAAACATTTTTACCTCATATCACAGACAAGAGGTAAATCTCCCTAAGAATTTTAAGCAGTTCCTCAAAAAAGATCAATCTCACCAGAAAAATAGGCAAAATATTTGAACAGATAATCTATAAAAACAGAAAAAAATGAATGCCACTGTAACATGAAAATCTGCTTAACCTCATTCAGAAGAAAAATGCAAGTTACAACTATACAGAGATAGCTTTTTTTTAAACCTAGAAAACTGGCAATCCCCCAAACTTTAATAAATTCTTGATGGCAAAGCTGAGAGGAACAGGTTTTCTCACACATTGCTAATGAGAGGGCCCTAGTGTGATCTTTATGGGGGGAATTTGGCAGCTTCCATCACAATTACAAATGAATATACCAGCACCTTTGATTCAATAATTCCACTTCTGGGATCTTATTGCATTTGCAAATATCAAATTGATCTACATAGTCACAGCAGCATTGTTTATAAGACCTTAAGATTAGAAATATTCCAAGTGCCCATCAACAGGGTATTGTTTAAAGAAATAAGAGTACAGTCACAGCTACAATAAAGAATGAAATCATAAAAAAAAATAATAATAATAAATAAATAAAAAAGAGCCGAAACTGGTTTGGCTCAGTGGTGAAGCGTCTGTCTGTGGACTGAAGGGTCCCGGGTTTGATTCCAGTCAAGGGCATGTACATTGGTTGTGGGCACATCCCTAGTAGGGGGTGTGCAAGGGGCAGCTGGTCGATGTTTCTCTCTCATCAACGTTTCTAGCTCTCTAGCTCTCTGCCTTTCTCTCTGTAAAAAATCAATAAAGTATATTAAAAAAAAGAAAGAAAAAAAAAGAATGGAATCATGCAGCTACAATAAAGAATGAGGAAGGTGTGCTTGTATCGCTATGGAAGGATCTCTAAGATATATCATTGAATTAGTATGGTCTATAACAATGTATATACTACGCCATTCTTTTGTTTCAAGAAAGGCTAATATAAAATAAGAATCTCTATGTTTTTGTCTGTGCACAAAGAAGCTCTAGAAGGTTCCATAAAATACTAAGAATAATGATGATGAGTGGCAGGGACCAGAGAGTTTCCACTGAATAATTTGTTTTGGGACAAAACTGGTTTGGCTCAATGGATAGAGCATCGGCTTGGGGACTAAAAGATCCCCGGTTCGATTCCGGTCAAGGGCATGTACCTTGGTTGTGGGCACATTTCCAGTGAGGGGTGTGCAAAAGGCAGCTGATCGATAACTCTCACTCATCGATGTTTCTAACTATCTCTTCCCCTTCCTCTCTGTACAAAAATCAATAAAATATATTTTAAAAATAATAATAATAATTTGTTTTGGATTTTAACTATGTGATTGCTATACCTTTCCATTCAACTAAAATTTTAGATAAATGGCACAATTGGTGTGGCTCAATGGTTGAGTGTTGACCTATGAACCAGAAGGTCATGGTTCAATTCAGGTCATGGCACATGTCCGGGTTGCAGGCTCAGTCCCCAGTAGAGGCGTGTAGGAGATAGCCAATTAGTGATTCTCATCATTGATGTTTCTATCTCCCTCTCCCTTCCCCTCTGAAGCAATAAAAATCTAATTAAAAAAAAAATTTAGCCCTAGCTGGTTTGGCTCAGTGGATAGAGCGTCGGCCTTTGGACTGAAGGTCCCAGGTTTGATTCTGGCCAAGGGCACATGCCCCAGGTTGCCAGCTCGATCCCCATTAGGGGGCAGGCAGAAGGCAGCCAATCAATGATTCTTTCATCATTGATGTTTCTATCTCTCTCTCCCTCTCTCTTCCTCTCTGAAATCAATAAAAATATATTTTAAAATACTTAGATAAATGTGCCATGACCACAGCTATGTGAGGTTTATATCTGCTCATGGTCAGAGCCTGGACTGGGAGGGAGGAGACAACAGGGCATCCTGAGTTGGAGGGACTGCTGTACTGACAGGGCCTCCAGGACAGAGGGAGAAGCTGGAGTGGCCAAATCGGGCACTGGACCTTGCCTCCCACAGGGCCCACATGTAACATTATTTGTTCTTATAGTTGTTCAAGAAATAAACATTCAGATAATAAAGTAAATGGTCTCCGCAAAAGCAGAACAGCTTTGGGGCTTTGGGTAAGAGGAGAACATACTTGTAAGAGAGCTGGGCCTGGGTTCCCACCACTCTCTCTGGTCCAGGGCAGCTGGCCTTCTGCTGAACTCCCCTAAGCACTTACCAGGGCCAAGACTTGGTGGCAAGGGCTCAAACACGGAAAGCAAACTCACCGTCTTCTTCATCTTTTCCACGAAGCTGCTGTCTTTGACAGAGGAGGTCCTGAAAAACAAGTGTCAGGTAAGTATGGGATACATGTGGCAGCATCGAGAAGCACTGTCAGTGAGCATGCCAGCAGCCACCTCTGGGGCTTCCAAGCCGCCTCCATATTCCCTGCACGAGGCAGGCTCCATGACTGATGGCTGTCACTGGGGAGTCCTAGGCACTCGCCTGGCCACCTCTCCTGCCAGACCACAGTCAACAGCAGAGTCTCTGGGCAACCAGAGGGCACTACCCAGTCCCTGCACAAAAGCTGAGGTACAGAATGACAGTGGGTGTGTGCAGGGTGTTGAGTAGTCCCAGTTTTTCAGAAGTTAGCTGCTGGCTGGCCTCCACACTAATGCCATTTATTTGTTTAACAAATCTTTTTAATGAATAGCCAATATTATTCCGATTCCCAATTCAGATAAGTCCAGCCATGCAGCTGTGTTTTTCATAAAACATGGATGGATCATGAATGGGATCAAAGCAGGGCAGAAGAAACTGGATGAGGTACGAAGGGGCCCAAAGTGGGATGTGTCTCGGGTTGGATGAGCTGTGATCAGAAGTGAGACGGGCCGGCCTTGGGGAGGGTGCAGAGCCTCCACCTTCCCCCTTCCCTGTGGAGGGCTTTCTGGGGGCTGCCTAGAGCAGTGGCTCCCTTCTGCCTTCAGCCCGCCAGCCCAGGGCCCACATGCTGGTCAGCAAGGCTGGTCAGGGGTGAAGATGCAATTGCAGACAGCCAAGCTCTTTGCCCCTGGGGTGAGGTGTTAGAAATGCAGGGTCTCAGGGAATGTGCTGTGAGGTCACAATTGAAGAAGCTCCTTCCACAAAGAGGCTCATCACAGCCCCAATACAGGGGTGCTGCATGCCCACTTAATAGACAGTCGACAGAGGCTCAACAGCAGCCCGGTCCTCTGGCCAGTAAGTGGCCAGGCAAGGACCAATCCAAGCCTGATTCCAAGGCCTCTGCTCTTTCCCCTACATCCTCCAGCACATGAAAAAGGGTAGGAAAGAGCGGAATGCCAGCAGGCGCACACATGCATGTCACAACAGCGGAGAAGTGATGTCCCTCAGGAGTAGATGCCTGAAGCCCATGGAAAAACTTACTAAGTGAAGTTTCTTTTAAGAATGCCTCAGCAAAGCTGTTTAGACACATAATTTTGTAAACATAAAGATGGAAATTTCCTGCTGAAGCCCCCACTGGGTTTTTCACTAGGTTAGTAGGTCCAGGACTAGTAGGGCTTACTAAACTAGTTAGAATGAAATAGTAGGCTACTTTCAGGGTCTTCGTGGTAAATATTACATGTGGGCCCTGTGGGAGGCAAGGTCCAGTGCCTGATTTGGCCACGCCAGCTTCTCCCTCTGTCCTGGAGGCCCTGTCAGTGCAGCAGCCCCTCCGGGGGCCAGGAGGAAGGCAGCTGGGGACCAACCACCTGCTTGGCTTTCCCACCCAGTGATGGCCTAGCCTCCTAGAAACTCAGAGAGGCCCTCCCCGCAGCCCCCACTATCCTGGCACCCCCAGGCAGACCCATCCCAACAGGAGCAGGCCATGGCAAGAGCCTATGGAGGCCCTCAGGCCTGCCTCTTTTCTTCCCAGCTCTCAGCTCCAATCTGCACTCCAAAGGGGCTCTGTGTCTGGACATCTTTTCTACATGTCCAGCTTCTACCCATGCCCAGCCATCAACACCCGCATGTTCACTGCCCCTTTAGTTTATGTGCAGCCTGAACAGAACACTAAATGTCTGTCTCCGCACTAACATGGCATGCTTCCCAAGACACACTGTTAGATGAAGCAAGCAAGGTCCACAGCAATGTGAATTCTACGCTGTGTTCCTTTTGAATGCAGAATCATGATAATATATTACTTATTAAACAAATTTAAACGGATGGTTAAGAAAACTATCAGCAACCTAGACAAACGATTCTGATGAAATATGAGGGGGAAAGACATACAAAACTAAATGCAATTTCCATTTATATGAAATGTGCAAAATAGGCAGATCCATAGAGGCAGAGTGGGGCCAGGGGCTGGGGGAGGAGAGGGGCAAGATTGCTTAATGGGAACAGTGGTGCCCTTTGAGATGATGAAAATGTTTTTGAATTGGAAAGTGGTTGAACAACACTGTGACTATACAAAAGCCCCAATATTACATACTTCACTAGAAAATGGTTAATATGGTGAATTTTAACTCAATTTAAAAAAATGAAAACAAACTAAATGCATTCAGTTGACACTTAAAAAGGCTTGAATTTTTGAAATATTCATTTATATGCAACTCTTTCTCAGTTTCTCAACCACTACCAGTCCCTAGTGGGGGTGAACATGGCAGAAGCCCTGGCAGAAATGCAGAATGACACTGCAGAGCCAGTAGAAACACAAGCTATAGTGTGACAGCAAGGTAATAGACACATCTTCATTTACACTCAGACTCTTTAGGGTATAATATATAACTGGCAGGAGGAAAACAAGAATTTGTGTCCTTAAAAAATGGAGTGTACACTATTAATTATTCATAGAAAAAGGACCTGGAGAGAAAATACTAGCATCTTGACAGAGAATATTGAAGGGTTAAGATAATAGGTAAGATGGTTTTTATAATTTTCCAAATTTTTTATTTTCACATTATTTTTATAACTAAAAATACATTTTAAAGTTTCAAAAAATGGTGGACAACTCACAAGTCTAAAAATAGGGCAGAGGCCACAATCAGCACAATACCTGACAGCACACATTTGATCAGCTTCTGGGGCGGTCAGTCCTGATTCCTCTGCCCAGCAGAAGGCTGGCTGAGGTGGCCTGATATCCGCTGAAAAGCCAAATCCTATTTCTTTTCAAAAGGAAGAGGCTCCACAGAAGCTACAACTTGAAGAAGGTGGATTTGATGAAGAAACGGACAAGAAGCACCCCCACTGCCTAGTGAATGCTGGGCTGCTCCTCCATCTGCAGGTGACACGTGCCAGCTGAAGTGGGCAGGGCCCTCTGCCAGCACCAAGGCAAGACACTAAACAAGGCAGCCTCTTTCTTACAAGGGAGAAATACAGGCCCTGAGGGTAATCATGGAGGGATGGGAGAGGCCTCACATCAGGAGCAGAGACTCAGTTCAAATCCTGGTTTTGCCACTAACTGAGCCTGTGACAAGTCATGGCCTCTCAAGGCCTGAAGTTCCTTTTGTTGAAAATACTGCATCTTGGCTCTGCAGCCTTCCAGTGCCTTGCACAGCACCTGGGACTTGTTAGTTCTCAGGGATAGAGGGTAGAGGGTGTTCAGTAGAATGAGGTGGTTTGGGTCACTCTGATTTCTAAGGCTCACAGATGGATCAGACGGCCCAGACCACAGGGCTCTGGGGGAGCAGGCACCATGCCTGGAGAAACCAGGAAGGGCCTCTTGGAAGAGCTGAGCTCTAGTCTCAGAGACAAAACGACTCCCCAGAGAGAAAGCCTGGGAACCGACAGCCGAAGGGCTCCTGGATGAGGCCCATGCAGCCAGGGGAGCTCAGCTACAGCCCTGACAGTGCGGACTGGGCAGGGAGGAGGGCCTCAGTGTGGCCTCCTGATGCAGCTTCACAGGGTGGGAGTCACAGGCTGGAAGCTCCGGGAGCGGAGAGAGCCCTTTAGGCAGGTCTGGCTGGGAACGTCAGAGGCAGGCAAGATGGCTAGCCCTGCCGTCATGGAGGAAGGGTTCTCTGAGAAGCATGAGCATTTCTGAAGGCCAGCCTGGTCCCTCACTAGCTTCAACATCCAGAGAAAGGAAGAACACTCCCACTCCCTCCCCTTGACTCCAGGGATGGCTTCCAAAGATTAGGAAAACCTGAGGGAACTGAAGAAGACCCCATGCCTCTAGCCAGTGCCCCAACAGGGCTGTTACCTGATGCTCTCACCAGTTACACCTGGCCTGCAGGAACACAGAACCTGTCTCCACACCTGAGTGCCCTTCACCCCGCCTGACAGCTCCACATAGGAATCTGCATGTGGAACTTGATCTTTCACAGGCGCAGGAGTCGGTGACTGGGACCTTCCTGGTTTCCAGTCCATATCCTGTCCTTTAGAAGCAGGAAACTGTAGCCTACAAATCGGACTGACTGGGCCAACAGTGCCCCTCCCAACTATGCTGATCAACCCCACCCAGCTCCCTCCTGCCTCCAGGCATCCCTGCCCCAAAAGAAGTTCCCACTCACTAGAGCTGGGGTCGCCAACCTTTTGGACCTTACGGACCAGCGGTGGTCCTCAGACCACCAATTGGCGACCGCCGCCCTAGAGTATAGGTGTCAAGTGTCCCTCAGCCAGAGAGCCACAGACGAAGTCTGCTGCCAGGAACAGTTTGGGACTGACCTTCTCAGGGTGGGCTCGTCCTGCGGAGATGAGTACATGCACCCCATGGTTGCTCACTCCCAGCTCCAGGACTTAAGGAAGAAAGCAGGTTGTAACTCTCTCCTGGAAACAGGCCAGGAGCCAGCAGTTAGGAAGTCGGGTTCTGTCCATCCTCTACAGAAGGATCGGCCCATTAACTTTGAAAGTGCTCCTGGACACCCCAAAGTCCTCTGGAATCTCGGCTGAGCCCCTGCGTGCATCCGTCCCCATTAGCCTGAGAACATCTGGCAGCTCCAGCAGGGAGGAACCAGGACTCTGGGCTGAAATCTCCCATGATCCCCTGCGTTTGGGCACCCCCCTCCTCCTTCGGTATGGACCGAGGGAAGGAGAAAACCTTCCCAACCCCAATCCTCGGGTCTCCTTGGAAACTGTTTATATCAGAGCCCTTTCTCTCCACAGCCGCCTCCTTTCCTTTCCCATTTGAAAAAAAATAAAATAAAAGGAACTCATGGAGGCTGAATAAAGCTCTTCTAGACACTAGAAGGCGGTTGTGCAGGTTGCTATGGCAGGGCCGTCTCTCCATAAAGGAAGCTGCATTGATCCCACTGCCACGGTGCTTCAGGATCATATTAAATTAGATCTGGTTCCCGTTTTCCTCCCCACAAAAGAACTGAGGGCAACAGAGCCTAAGACTAGTCTTAGTCTGTCACCTG